TACCGTATCGCCCCGGATATAACCGCAGGCCTATGTTAAGCGCATGCGCTTTTATCTGGAGCAATGCGCTTATGGCCGATCCTCAATTATAAGCGCACCCTCTGAAAATTCATTACTTATTATAAGCGCACCCCTGTTATATAACAAGCTTTTTCCCGTTGGATTTTCCCACTAAATACAAACTAGCTAACAGTTTCAACTAAAACTACCAATACATTGGACTTCATTTCTAGCCTACACACCATTTTCATGATCACTCAAGCCTAAGGCCTACTCCTCGTCCGATTCAGGCTCCGTGGAGTTGTTGCCAAAGAAGCCGTCTGCTTGGACGTCGTCATCTACCTCTACCTCGTGGGACAGCTGAGCTCTCCGGTGCGCCAGCACCAGTCCGTCTTCACTTCCGTCAAGGGCATTGCTGATGCCGCAGGTGAGGAACGCCTTCTTAATCAGTTCGGCGGGCACGGCTTTCCACGCCCGTGAAATCCACTTGAGCACCACCTCCGGAGGTGGTTTCTTGATGTTCCCTGCACCACAAACACGGGGGTGGGAAACGTGAGACCACACGCAGGCAGACAAGCTCATAAAAAGGCCACGGGAGAACACTTTGCGTACCTGCGGGGGTCAGGATGTTCATGCCGTCCTGCTCGAACCAGGTCTGGTACTGCTGCCGAACACTCGCCTTGAAGCTTTTGTTGACCGACACATCGAGCGGCTGCAGGTCTGCCGTGCATCCCGCCGGGATGACCGCCGGTACGATGTTGAGCTCCGCGAATTTCGCCTTGACTTCGGGCGTCAGGTGACCACGGTAGGAGTCGAGCACCAGCATGGCGCTACGGCTCTGAACTCCGAACTTCGGTTTCAGGAACGGCACCACGCCTGGTGCCGCTTCAGTTTCTCCTGGGCGGTGTAGCGCTGCTGTTTGTGTTGAGTCATCTTGTGCCTGGGAGAGGGGGGGCGGGCATCTCGGTTCTCAGAGGAGGGGTGGGGTCGTTTCTTGTTAACAGGCGGATACGTTGGTATTGGCATCTTCGCGCGTGGTGCGTCGCGCCACCAAGATTCGACGCCGTCGTCGTCGGCGGCCTCACGATCGGGGAAGACGTCCTCCTCGGCGCCCTCTTCAAGATCGATTCCACCGTCGCCTCCACAGCCGCCTTCCGCGTTGCCGTCGCCGGTAGGTTGTTTATCGGCGGCCACGTCATCGTCGGCGCCCACGGCCGACTCGTCCCACGTGCAATCCTCAGGATTTCCCCACCGCGGGGCAGTCGGCGGAGCAGCGACAACCACATCGGGAGCCTTGGGTGTGTCCGGTTCAGACAGGCACTCGTCGAAGGTGGCTGGCAAGTAAAGCTGGAGCACGGGCCGCTGGTGGGAATTCGGGTTAGGAACAGGACGGCTCGGAGGATTCGGAGGAGCGGGGGGAGTAGGAGGAGCAGGAGGTACAGGAGGAGCAGACGGAGCAGGCGGAGCAGGCGGTGCAGGTGGTGCAGGTGGCACAGGAGGCTCACGGGTAAACCACCCGTCCGCGGTAAGTCGCCATGGCCGTGGTGGTTTCTTCTTGTAAAGAAAGTGCATCCCACTGAATTCCGCCATGGCTTCGCCAGCCAGGCGGGCTAGAGTAGAAACTGAATGAAAAAAATGAAGACGAGGGTGCACAAATGGGCAACGACGGGGACCCCTGCAACCTAGCGGCGCGGGGTCCTCGTCAATGACAGGCAGGGTTCCCCCGTCTACCCCCGTAGAGGAACCTGCGTGGCAGCATATCCGCTGCGCTGGCAGGGAAACTTCCCCAACCTTCGAGAGGGTTCGAAAGAAATGCACTTGCGTGGCAGCGCATGCGGCTGTGATTGGGCCGCACAGCAACATCCCCGTCAGTGCTGTCACGTTCGATGCTTCTAGACAGCATTGTGCGGTGGGAAACCGCACCGCGGCTGTTTTTGCCTGAAAACCATGCACGTTCCCACGTGCTGCATGGTCCGGTGGATTCGCCTTATTGCGGGCTTCAGTTTAGTATGTTTAAAAGTGAATTTCATTTTTTTTCCATATTATACGCGCATGCGCTTATACAGACACCTCAATTAGAAGCGCACCCCCCCAAAAAACACCGTTTTATTATAAGCGCACCTGCGCTACTATCCGGGGTAATACGGTAGAACACACACGGTTGCACTCATTAATAGAACACACATTGCTGTACTCCTTGATAGAACCTCAGCTCTTGTTCTTCTGGTGTCTCACTCTCCTCCCCCTCCTCACCTCCCTACCTCCAGCAGAACCCTGTGCGCCGTGCACTTTCTGCTCCTTCACACTCCTCCTCTTCTTTTCACACTGCTTCGTTTCACTAAATCCTTCCCTTTCCTCCCTGTCCTCCCTTTCCTCCCTGTCCTCCCTTTCCTCCCTGTCCTCCCTTTCCTCCCTGTCCTCCCTTTCTTCCCTTTCCTCCCTTTCTTCCCTTTCTTCCCTGTCCTCTCCTTCCTCCTCCTCATCCAGCCCCCCACCAGCTGCAGCAATCTTCTCTTCCCGCTTCTTTGCAACCAGCTTCGCCGCTTTCCCAATGTGGTGATCACACAGCGAGAACCCCAGCCTCGGTATCCTCATACACACCCACCCCTTGCCATCCGTTCGACTGCAATGCCGTGCCACCGACTGTGTTACTGTTTCCCCAGGAGTATTGCTATTACCCCCAAGGGCATCCCTCCCAGGGGTATTACCATTACCCCCAAGGGCATCCCTCCCAGGGGTATTACTCCCAGAGGCTTGTGTTCCCGGTATCAGGCTGTGTCTCCTCTTCCTCTTAGTAGCTGTCCTTTGCTGACTTTTCGTGCTGCTAACGGGATATCTGCGTTTATATCGTGCCCTCCTGCGCTTTCCCAGTTCAAAAGAACTATCCTCTCTGTCCCCCTCGCCCTCCTCGCTTATCCCACTCAAGGGACACTCGCTGTAAGCACTGCCGCTATCCTCTCTACAAGCAGCTTCGCTCGCCCAGCCTTCGTCACTGGAATCATCATAACATCCATCCTCCCCTGCAGCATTCCCATCACATCCCTCATCCCCATCCCCATACCCATCGCATCCCTCATTGCCCTCCCCATCCCCATCTCCACCCTCCAACACCCCCCCAGTTTTTCCATCCCCAATGCCTTTCCTTCTCAATCCCTCACCTCTTCTCATACCCCTCCTCTGACACCCCCTCTCACCCCCCCTCCCACCCCTCCTCTCAACTCCCATCTCACCGCCCCTCTCACCCACCTCTCCACCCCTCCTCTCACAACCCCCTGCAACAGCACCTGAGGTGCAAAGCACACGGTGCAAGGGAGGAGAAGGGGAAAGCACCAGCGTGGGTGTGACAGCATGCCCTGTGTGAGTGTGACGCCTCATGCTGTTGCCTCTAGCTCTCTGGCTCCGGGGGCGCTTGCTTGGTTTGCCACTGTCAGCTTGGGATGAGGGCGGCAGGGGTGTCTCGTGTGAGTTAGGCTTGCGAGGGGTAGGCTTGTGTAAGGCAGGCTCGGGAGAGGCAGGCTCGGGTGAGGCAGGCTCGGGTGAGGCAGGCTCGGGTGAGGCAGGCTTGGGAGAGCAAAGGTCTTTGAGCAACTTCATGTTCATCCGTCCCGGCCGGTCTCCCCTGCGCGTCATTGCTGGTTTTTGAGAATTCTCATTAACTAACTTGATCCGTCCCGGCTGGTCTCTCCTGCGCGTCATTGCTGGTTTTTGAGAATTCTCATTAACCAACTTGATCCGTCCCGGTCGGTCTCCTCTGCGCGTCATTGCTGGTTTTTGAGAATTCTCATTAACCAACTTGATCCGTCCCGTTCGGTCTCCTCTGCGCGTCATTGCTGCTTGACGGTGCTGCCTTGCCAGCCCCCCAGGGCCTGCTTGTGCTGGTAGTGGCATTTGTGGATTCTCAAAAGCTGCCTGCTGCCTTGCCATCCCATGAAATTCAGGCTGAGCTGGCTGTGTCTTTCCCTGAGGCGACTTTTGATTACATTTTTTCGACACCTCAAAAGAAGCCCCTTCCAATGAATCTGCTGGTGGTGCTGGCTGTGGCGATTTTTGAGGCGCCTCAAATATTGGCCGTGGCAGTTCCCGAGGCGATTTTTGAGTGGACTCAAATGGCAATAGTTTATTGTGGAATGCAGATTGAGATGGTGATGGGTCTGATGCTGCTAAGTGCTGCTGCGGGTGGGACGGGAGAGCTGATACCGGCTGCTGCGTTAGTAGCTGCTGCGTTAGTAGCTGCTGCGTTAGTAGCTGCTGCGTTACTAGCGGGGGCTCTAGATGTGCCATTGCCATGGGTGCTGGTGATTTTGATGCTGTTGTCAGTGCTGCGGCTGACTCTGCTGCTGCTGTTGCTGCTGGTTGTAATGGTGGTGGCGCTGCTGCTAATGCTGATGCTGGTGTTGCAACTGCTGCTGGTGGTTGTAATGGTGATGGTGCTGCTGATGCCACTGCTGCTGCAGCAGCTGATGCTGCCGGTGCTGCTGCTGGTGGTGATGACGATGGTGGTGGTGGTGTTGCAGCTGCTGATGCCGCTGCTGCAGCAGGCCGTGTTGCGTATTGGAGCGACGGGAGGTTGTGAGGGTCGGTTGACAGGCATGAGAGAGGGTCATGGAAGGCACAGGCTTGACTGGGAAGGTGATTTTGCCTGCACATGTAGGAAAAAAGGAGGAAAGAGAGTGGAATGAGGGGTGGTTTTAGAGGGGTGGAAGGGTGTGAGGGTCGGTTGACAGGCATGAGAGAGAGTCGTGGAAGGCATAGGCTTGACCGAGAAGGTGATTTTGCCTGCACATGTAGGGGCGGAAAAGAAGTGGAAAGAGGGGGGTTGCAGTCTTGGAGGGGTGGAAGGTTGTGAGGGTCGGTTGACAGGCATGACAGACGATCGTGGCAGAAACAGGCTTGACCGGGAAGGTGATGGTGATGGTGATGGTGATGGTGATGGTGATGGTGATGGTGATGGTGGTGATGGTGACAATAGTGACTGTCCTCGTGCCTGCACACGGAGGAGCATGGTGGGGTGGAAGGAGAGGGGGAGATGCAGTCTTGAGAATGGCGATCAGCTAGTTTCTGAGGAGCCTTAGGATAGACCACAACGCTTGAGGAGGCGATGGTGGTGGTGGTGGTGGCGGCGGCGGCGGTGGCGGCGGCGGCGGCGGCGGCGGCGGCGGCGGCGGCGGCGGCGGTGGTGGTGGTGGTGGTGGTGGTGGTGGTGGTGGTGGTGGTGGTGGTGGTGGTGGTGGTGGTGGTGGTGGTGGTGGTGGTGGTGGTGGTGGTGGTGGTGGTGGTGGTGGTGGAGGTGGTGGCGGTGGCGGCGGCGGCGGTGGCGGCGGCGGCGGTGGCGGCGGCGGCGGCGGCGGCGGTGGTGGTGGTGGTGGTGGTGGTGGTGGTGGTGGTGGTGGAGGTGATGGTGGAGGTGGCGGCGGCGGCGGCGGCGGTGGTGGTGGTGGGTGGTGGTGGTGGTGGTGGTGGTGGTGGTGGCGGCGGTGGCGGCGGCGGCGGCGGCGGCGGCGGCGGCGGCGGCGGTGGCGGTGGCGGTGGTGGTGGTGGTGGTGGTGGTGGTGGCGGTGGCGGTGGTGGTGGTGGTGGTGGTGGTGGTGGTGGTGGTGGTGGTGGTGGTGGTGGTGGTGGTGGTGGTGGTGGTGGTGGTGGTGGTGGTGGTGGTGGTGGTGGTGGTGGTGGTGGTGGAGGTGATGGTGGTGGCGGTGGCGGCGGCGGCGGCGGCGGCGGCGGCGGCGGCGGCGGTGGTGGTGGTGGTGGTGGTGGTGGTGGCGGCGGCGGCGGCGGCGGCGGCGGCGGCGGTGGTGGTGGTGGTGGTGGTGGCGGCGGCGGCGGCGGCGGCGGCGGCGGCGGCGGCGGCGGCGGCGGCGGCGGCGGTGGCGGTGGTGGTGGTGGTGGTGGTGGTGGTGGTGGTGGTGGTGGTGGTGGTGGTGGTGGTGGTGGTGGTGGTGGTGGCGGTGGTGGTGGTGGTGGTGGTGGTGGTGGTGGTGGTGGTGGTGGTGGTGAGGACGATAATCGTAGCTGCACACAGAGGGGCATGGTAGGGTGGAAGGAGACGGGGAAAAGCTTTTCTGAAAATGGCACTCAACTAGTTTCTGGGGACCGCGTGGATGGGCGAAGAAAGGCGGTTCTGAGGACCTTGGTATAGACGACAGTTCTTGAGGTGGTGATGGTGATGGTGATGGTGATGATGATGATGATGATGATGATGATGATGATGCTGATCATGGTGGCTGCAGATAGAGGGGCGAAGCAAGGCGGCAGGAGGGGGGCAACACACTGTGAATGTCAATACGATTTATGAGGAGCCTGGGTCAAGATGGTGGTGGTGGTGGTGGTGGTGATGGTGGTGGTGGTGGTGGTGGTGATGGTGGTGGTGGTGATGCTGCTGCTGCTATTGATGGCTGTAGGCATGGGATGGAGCAGCAGGGGAATGGAGATTGTGACACTGTGAGGGCAGTACAGTTCTTCTGAGCCCCTCAAGTCGACCAAGAAAAGGCCCTCGCGTTGATGATGGTGCTGCTGGTGCTGGTGATGATGATGATAATCAGTTATGGCTGTACCTGGGGGGGCGCCGTACGGGGAAAGGAGGGGGGATGCAGCACAGTGTGTGAATGGCGGTGAGAAACATGGAATCACATAAAGCGCAGCCCTGCACACCAAGCATGCCAACAATGAAAATTAAGCATGAGCTGTAGCCGACTGAAAAATGCAACCGCTGGTGTTGCACACCGAGCACTAGCCTCTTGATGGTGTTGCAACCGCTGGTGCCCATTTTTTAGTCGACTGAAAATTGCGATGTTTGAGTCGACTGGAAAATCGTCTCATCAAATTCAGCTGGTGCTGAAGAGGTTACTGTGAAGACATTTCTCTTCGGTACCAGCTGTCTAGTAACCTCTTCACGATGACTCAACAGCTGGTGTCAGCAAATTTTCCAGATGTCAACGAGAGGCGCCATTGGTAGCACGATGGTTGAGAATGTGGTGGTGCATTGTTCACCGTAAGGTGACGTTGTCTGCATGCAGATCCAGCATGTAATGCAGCAGCTTCTGCTGGCTCAGACCATATGGATTATGGCAGTAAGTTTGTTAAGACAAGAAGCAAGGAGCATGATGATAAGGACTCGCGCAAATCGGAAGGAGCTTCTCATAGCTCTCGTTCACAACATCACCGGCACGTTCTTTCTCACGACACACGCTTCTTGACAACTTCACCACACATTCCTCTGCACCCCCCAACACACTCTCCAACACAATATCATGGTGCAACGCAAACCACGATAATCCAAAAAAAAAAAAAACTCTAGTGTGTTTTTGAGGCGCCTCAAAAACACAATATGGTACAACGCAAACCGTGCTAATTCTGGAAACTTCCCGCAAAAGGGGGCGCAGTGAAAGCGACACATGTGGTGCAAAGGTACAGTGCAACACTCATCTGCTGTCCTTTGATACTCAGGCTCAGTAGTAATAGCAGCACTGGCAGACATAAGACTTCAGCATTCCCCCGTTCCCTCCCCCACACCACACCCACACCACACACACCACATCCCCCCCCCCACACCACACCACACCACACCACACCACACCACACCACACCACACCACACCACACCACATCCCCCCCCCCCCGCCCTTCCCCCCCCCCAAAAACATCCGCTCCCGAGCACTGCAGAATTTAGAGATGCACTTTCAAGACGTCTCATCTGAACCGCTCCATACCGTTGGAGACCCTACTGCACAGCACTCGATACCTCTCGACTAAGACGTCCCACACTTTGATATGCCCTTTTAAAACGCCTCTTTAGAGACGCCTCATCTGCGAGCATTGGAGACCCTACACTACACAGCGTTTGATAATGCTACTTCCGAGAACTCTCAATAGTATCAACATTGGAGACCCTTACCAGCGTCTGAGACGCCCCCAAAACGTTTGGGACATCACGAAAGAGGCGCACCGAGATTCTCTTAAAGGGGCGAAGCGAGAGGGAGGGGAGTGTGTGTGAGGTTGGGTGTGTTTGTGTTGGGGGGTGGGGGGTTGTGTGTGTGTAAGTGCGTGTGGGTGTGGGTGTGTGTGTGTGGGTGGGTGGGTGGGTGTGGGTGTGGGTGTGTGTGTGTGTGTGTGTGTGTGTGTTGGTGGGTGGGTGGGTGTGGGTGTGGGTGTGTGTGTGTTGTGGGTGGGTGGGTGTGGGTGTGTGTGTGGCAACGGGAGAAGTGAGTTTGGGTGTGTGCGTGCACGCGCGTGCGTGAAGAAGCGAGGGAGGGAGGGAGGGAGGGAGGGAGGGAGGGAGGGAGGGAGGGAGGGAGGGAGGGAGGGAGGGAGGGAGGGAGGGAGGGAGGGAGGGAGGGAGGGAGGAGGGAGGGAGGGAGGGAGGGAGGGAGGGAGGGAGGGAGGGAGGGAGGGAGGGAGGGAGGGAGGGAGGGAGGGAGGGAGGGAGGGAGGGAGGGAGGGAGGGAGGGAGGGAGGGAGGGAGGGAGGGAGGGAGGGAGGGAGGGAGGGAGGGAGGGAGGGAGGGAGGGAGGGAGGGAGGGAGGGAGGGAGGGAGGGAGGGAGGGAGGGAGGGAGGGAGGGAGGGAGGGAGGGAGGGAGGGAGAGAACAAGGACGAAGCCACGTCCCTCGGGGACAGCTTAGCCGTAAGGGAGCCCACGGAAACCATCATTCTGCTTTTGAGTCGACTCAAAAGCGAACTCATTACACGCAGTTTTTGAGACGCCGCCTCAAATACTCTCTGGAGCCCATGGTCGGGATCCCCCAGAAGATCCCCAGAAGATCCCCCAGAAGATCTCCAGAAGATTCCCCAGAAGATCTCCAGAAGATTCCCCAGAAGATCCCCCAGAAGATCCCCTAGCAGATCTCCAGAAGATCCCCCAGAAGATCCCCCAGAAGATCCCCTAGCAGATCTCCAGAAGATCCCCAGAAGATCCCCCAGAAGATCCCCCAGACAGCATCATTCTTTTAGGAACGCAGGGCCTTGTTTGCTTACTTTTTGCGTCGTCTCAAAAATCGACTTATCACCCACAGTGGATATCCCCCCGACAGCATCATTTCTTTTAGACAAGGCCTTGCTTGCTTGAGCGGAGCCTACGGTGGTGCTCTCCCAGACGGCATCATATGTAGGAGTGACGAGAGTAGGATGCTTCTAGACAAGCAAGGCCTTGCTTGCTTGAACTCACCGCATTGTGTACATACTGCCACGAAGGAATGCAAAAGATTCCTGAATCAATGCGAAGGATTCTTGAATCAGTGCAAAGGATTCTTGAATCAGTGCAAAGGATTCTTGAATCAATGCAAAGGATTCTTGAATCAAAGCAAAGGATTCTTGAATCAATGCAAGGATTCTTTGAATCAAAGCAAAGGACCGCTTGAGAGACTGAGACAGGGAGGGGACGCCGGGAAGAGGGCATCGACGGAGCTGTCACCGTGACACCCGGCGCTTGCAGGATCAAATCTGAGCCGGTCGACGGTCGACCGATCTCACAGCCTCTCACAGCCGCTTGCAATATTAAATCCGGTGCTTTCTGCTGCATTCCTTGGCTCAGGTGTTTTCCCGCTCTGCCGCCGCTGATGAGCATCATGTGGAATAGTGAAGTCCGCGGCGGGGTGGCTTCAAGCCGAAAAGTTTCTGCCAGAACCACTGAGTGGTTCTTCCCGAAGCATGACGAGGATGAAGTTGATGGTGATGATGCGAATCATCATGGTAGGGTTTCCTGGATCGCTAGTACCATCATGATTTGACGATGATGATGACCCTGGCGGTGGCAAGTGCCGTGATAGAAGTAACTTACCCCGGCGCCTGGTCGTGGGAACTCTCGAATCCACGGTGTTGCTTTTCAGAAATTGGACATTCTCGCTGATCTGACGACATCACGTGGTAATCGAGAGAGTTTCGGTTTTCTGAACGAGCGCGTGTTGCTGCTTCTAGCGGAGCTTCCTGATTATCCGCCGGAATGATCGCCGATGAAAGACCGCCGCGAGTGTTGCAGGCTGCGGCTCCGCCATGGCCGCTGGGGTTGTAAGCCCCGCCGGCGGCGGCTAGTTGAGCAAGCCGTTTCCGTATCCGCATTTGTGATAGGTTGCAGCAGCGGCGCGATCGGACAATTATGTGGTCTAGGAATCAGAAATATTTCTAGAAAAAAAAAATAGTGGCTTCGGGTTTTTTTTTCCCGCGTTACTACTTTGGCGAGCCGTTACTAACTCAAATCGCATATCATTTTTCCCGTTTGATTCTCGATTTTGCTGGTGGAAACAATCACAAGTCTTGAAGGAGGCAGTTGCAGGTTCCTGAGCTATCCTGGCAAACGATTGCCTTCTGATCTGAACTCTTGCTGGGACTCCCCAATCCCAGTCAAACCCTCATCAATCAAGAGGAGCGGCAAGAAGATGACTCAGGCTCGGAATTTTGTTATCGGTTTGGGTTTGGGGCCAGCAGGTTGGGCCACGCCTGGGATGCCAGTTTGCCAGCCAGCTTTCCACGTCCTGGCCGTGGGTTGCATGATGCGGTCGCGCGACAACAAGTAAATCTTCGCCAGCTGGAAGAGACTTCTTTCCTCGCGCGCGCGGGTGATATGGTGCTGTACCAGGTGGCCCATGCCCCCCGTGCTTGCGTCGCTGATTGCTGTACACCCTCATTCTCAGTCTGTGCACAATCGCCACATGAACATGCCAGCTGTAATGACATCAATGCGTCCAACATGGTCCAAGAACATACGCTGTAAGCACATTTGCCGTACTCAGCCGTACGGAAAACTAGTTGTAAGTTTACATACCGTTGTCTACCGTTCCCTGGGAGTGGATTTGCCCGCCACCTACCTGGAGTCCGGCTCCAAGCACCAGATCGCTAGGGTCCAAGCAACAGTACGCACTGTAGCCAGGGCTCCCAATTGTGCGTAGACTGAGAATGAGGGTGTACACATTGTTCCCCCAATTCCAATACAGTACCGAATCGAATTGGCCGTGGTCCCTTGATCTGGTGAGGAAAGCGCCAACAGATGTTTTTGGAAGAGAGCGTGATGACCTTTGTTTCGTTGGCAGGCCGGTGACGGTTACTTCCGCTTCTACACGATTGGGGAAATTCAACACGAAAATTTGGAAAGTAGCAACCGACCGACCTTAAAAAAGTCCACTGAATTTTCCTGTGTTTGCTAGCATACAGTAAGTAGTGTAACTCTTTTGTGGTAAACTTCGCCAGCCGCCATCACGGCCCCCACCCCACCCCCTCCCTCTCCCCATCTCACCCTCCCCTCTTGCTTTCCCCAACCTCCCTTTCACCCTTGCCCACCTGCTTCACAGCGGCACCATCAAATCTTTTTGTGATCATACCTGACGTGAATCTTTTTTACTGTACACTCGTTATTTATGAAAGATGGAAGACATCCTTTGGCTGGTGTATGGCGCACGGGTTCAGGGATGGGGTTGCTACTGCGGATACGTAGAGGGGATTCGTTTTCCTCGCAAATATACTATCTCCTTTAGGCAAGACGGTTTGGCCAGATACGGCTTTTTTCATCCCGTGCTGTACACTCCCTGCCATCAACTTCGTTTCGTCAGAGCGCGAACTGGTAAAAACTCGAGAACGTTTCCACCGTGTGGAAACGCCCTAATCACGATAAAACGTTCTGAAATTAGAAAAGATGGTTAACCCTTAATAGGGAAACACTCAAAAGTGATCCGCAAATGCCAGCGGAACAAGCATGTTTGCCAGTTTTCAAGGTGGTGGTAATTCCAATTTACTGCCGCCTCCACTCGAGTTGAGTCTTGCACTGCACAGTGTACAGCACACAACACAGCCCTTCCTTCCAGACCGCCGTGTTACACGTACACTCTGAGCTGTACGTACGAATTTACGGAACGAAACCTTCGTTACACATGAGCAGCGAACAAGTCATGCCAAAGTCATAGCCACACACCTCTAGCCACGTCGGCGGAAGCAAGATTTCAAGCACTTCCGTCATCCTTTCCCTACCAACCGCCATGCCGCCCCACCAAGGGTGCCACAGTTGTCCTGGCGATTTTTTTTTTTTTTTACGGTTAGAATTCTGTACCCACATGATGTATCGCATGCCAAATCAACAACCATCTGTGCCACGCCACCCCCCGCACACCACAGTTTATTCGGTTGCATGCGATGCTGACAACTCTGGAGTGGTTTGCTCACTCCGTCGTGTATCTACCTACTGTACAGTTTTGGCATGAACTTGTCATTCAAGAGCTTCACCATTAGTAACGTCGGGATAAACTTAAGAACATAATAGAATAGCGTAGTTGGTCATTTCAAAGTGAATGGTGTATACTTTCTTTAACGTTAGTACTGGGTTTGTGGTTTATGACATATCAACAACCCTCCAACCGATATTTCATTCTCATGATTGTTTAGTTGCGTACTGAAAAAACCCTACATGGACACGCAATCCTCACACACTTGGCTACACGGGTTAGCACATAACCCCGGCTCTTCAAGCCCCTAATCACAGCTCTACGCCCTATATTCTCATGTTAGCCCATTCCCTTTCCCCTCCAACCGACTCCTCACATCTACATCCGTCTACCGTTCTTCCCATACAGTATCTCTGGTTCCAAAGTCATGCTTACTTGTGCTCACCTCCCCTCCCATTCCCCCTCTCCATGCCCCAGTAGCCTTCTTTCTATCTTGCCTCTTTCCTGCTCCTGCTCCTCACCGTCCTCCTCCCCCTCCCCATCACCCTCCCCCTCCCCATCACCATACCTCTCCCCATCCATCTCCCTCTCGCTCCCCCCATGCCCCAAAAGCCTTCTCTCGATTCTGGCCCTCTCCTGCTCTTGCTCCTCCCCGTCCTCCTCGCCCTCCCCCTTCTCCCCTTCCTCAACAGGCCGCCCTTCAACATCTTCCTGCGACAGCTCCTCCCTGGAAGCTTCCTCCCCCTGCCGCTCTCTCAAAAACACATCACCACTGGCAGCACCAGCACCAGCAGCAGCAGCAGCAGCAGCAGGATTACGGTCAGAGTCAGTCGCAGCACCACCAGACGCAGCAGCAAAGGAAACGCTAGTGCCAGCAGCACCAGCACCAGCCCCGTCAGCAGCAGCAGCAGCAGCAGCAGCTGTTAAAGCAGGTGTGGCTGTGGCGGCTGGGAGAGCGATAGCAGGAGCGGTGGATGAGCCGTTGAGCTTCTGAATCAGCACATCCTTGTGATATCCCTGTGAGAGGGGAGGGGGGAGGTGGGGAGAAGGGGTAGTAGCCCACAGTTGAGTGTGAGGGTGACAAGAAAAGAGCAGGAGCGGTGGATGAACCATTGAGCTTCTGGGATATCCCTGTGAGGGGGGAAGGGGGAAGGGGAAGGAGGGGAAGAGGGGTGGTAGGACAAGCTACAATGAGCAGCAGAGAGCAGGAGCGGTGGATGAGCCATTGAGCTTCTGAATTAGCACATCCTTGTGATATCCCTGTAAGGGGGGAAGGGGGAGGGCGGGAGAAGGGGCAGGGGGGGGGGAGGAGGAGGGGAAAGGGGGGGCGGGGGAGGAGGGAAGAGGAAGGGGGGTAGAGGAAAGGGGGAAGAGGAGAGGGGGGATGGGATGCACATTGCACAGCACCACAGAAAACGCATGACTGTGTGTGTGAGAGAGCGACAAGCAAAGAAGGGGAGAGAGCAGGAGGACTGACCTGAACCACAAAGCAATGATCTGCACCAAAAGACACCGACCTGCACCGCAAACCACCACCCTGAACCACGAAGTTCTGTTGCTCACAGTCGAGAAACATGTTGGGGCGCTAGCCTGGCACGCTGCGACCGATCTTGACGCGCGTGTATCCAAAGCTGAGCTGGTCGCTGCATTGAAGGCATGGCAACACTCACAACAACACTCAGCGGTCCACGTCATTCCGCAATCAATGGGCTTTGCTCGTCTGGAATCGGAACAACACAACCACCGACCTGTACCGCAGACCACCCACCTGCACCACAAAGTTGCGGCGCTCGCAGTCGAGGAACATGTTGAGGCGCCAGGCGGGCACGCTGCGGCAGATCTTGTCCCTCGTGTAGCCAAAGCTGAGCTGGTCGCACTGAAAGCGCCCCACAACACCCACCTGAACCGCAGAGCACCGACCTGCACCGAAGAGCACCAATCTGCACCGCAGACCACCCACCTGCACCACGAAGTTGCGGCGCTCGCAGTCAAGGAACATGTTGAGGCGCCAGGCAGGCACGCTGCGGCAGATCTTGTCTCGCGTGTAGCCAAAGCTGAGCTGGTCGCATTGAAGGCGATTCACAACGCTCACCTGACCTTGAACAACAAAACACTAACCTGAACCACAAAGTTGCGGCGCTCGCAGTCGAGGAACATGTTGAGGCACCAGGCGGGCACGCTGCGGCAGATCTTGTCTCGCGTGTAGCCAAAGCTGAGCTGGTCGCATTGAAGGCGATTCACAACGCTCACCTGACCTTGAACAACAAAACACTAACCTGAACCACAAAGTTGCGGCGCTCGCAGTCGAGGAACATGTTGAGGCACCAGGCGGGCACGCTGCGGCAGATCTTGTCTCGCGTGTAGCCAAAGCTGAGCTGGTCGCATTGAAGGCGATTCACAACGCTCACCTGACCTTGAACAACAAAACACTAACCTGAACCACAAAGTTGCGGCGCTCGCAGTCGAGGAACATGTTGAGGCACCAGGCGGGCACGCTGCGGCAGATCTTGTCTCGCGTGTAGCCAAAGCTGAGCTGGTCGCATTGAAGGCGATTCACAACGCTCACCTGACCTTGAACAACAAAACACTAACCTGAACCACAAAGTTGCGGCGCTCGCAGTCGAGGAACATGTTGAGGCACCAGGCGGGCACGCTGCGGCAGATCTTGTCTCGCGTGTAGCCAAAGCTGAGCTGGTCGCATTGAAGGCGATTCACAACGCTCACCTGACCTTGAACAACAAAACACTAACCTGAACCACAAAGTTGCGGCGCTCGCAGTCGAGGAACATGTTGAGGCGCCAGGCGGGCACGCTGCGGCAGATCTTGTCTCGCGTGTAGCCAAAGCTGAGCTGGTCGCGGGACGTGAATCGGTCCACCTCGTTGAACCACAGGCACGCCATGAGGTTGCTGAGTGCCGTGTGCTCTCGCATTATCACACACCCCTCAGGCACATCTGTGTAGAGAAAGGGGGTGATACGGGAGGAAGGGGCAGATGAACACAGTCTGAGCGGTGCGTGCCTCGTTGAACCAGAGGCACGCCATGGCATGCGGTTGCTCAGCGCAGTGTGCTCCCGCATTATCACACACCTCTCGGGCACATCTGTGTTGGGTTGTGAGGTGTGGGTGGTGGGATGGTACGGGGGAAAGGATTGACGAACACACATTCAGCTGGTCATGCTGTGCAAAGTCTACTTTTGAGGTGCCTCAAAAATACACTCAGCTGGTTGAGCCACGTGAAGCGGCACCCATCTGCTCGTGCCTCGTTGAACCAGAGGCACGCCATGGCATGCGGTTGCTCAGCGCAGTGTGCTCCCGCATTATCACACACCTCTCGGGCACATCTGTGTTGGGTTTCAACCTAAAGACGACTCAGAACACCCACCACTGTAAAACACCCACCAACGCCAAGCAAGCACCCACCACAGTTAAGCACCCACAGCTGATGATGGGCGTTTTATCTTCCGAGAACGGCGTCATGCCACAGCGATACACCTCCATCTGCTCGTCGATGCTCACACCCTGAGACGAACCATAACAACTACCAGCACAGCCAAGCACCAACCACTGTTTCTGAAGCACACACCACATCTCTCTGGCACCCACCACTAATAATTGGCATCTTGTCTTCCGAGAACGGAGTCATGCCGTCGCTGCAATACACCTCCATCTGCTCGTCGATGCTCAACCTTGAGACGGCTCAGAACACACATCAGCACTCCAAAGCACCCACCGCGAATAATCGGCATCTTGTCTTCCGAAAAAGGAGTCATCCCGTCACTGCGATACACCTCCATCTGCTCGTCAATGCTCGCGTTGCGATACTTTCCCGCCGCCTTGTTTGCCTCCCAACAGCTACCACCTACCATGTCAAGCACCCACAAGCAAAGCCAAGCACCCACAAGCAAAGCCAAGCACCCACAAGCAAAGCCAAGCACCCACAAGCAAAGCCAAGCACCCACAAACAAAGCCAAGCACCCACAAGCAAAGCCAAGCACCCACCAGCAAAGCCAAGCACCCACAAGCAAAGCCAAGCACCCACCAGCAAAGCCAAGCACCCACAAGCAAAGCCAAGCACCCACAAGCAAAGCCAAGCACCCACAAGCAAAGCCAAGCACCCACAAGCAAAGCCAAGCACCCACAAGCAAAGCCAAGCACCCACAAGCAAAGCCAAGCACCCACAAGCAAAGCCAAGCACCCACAAGCAAAGCCAAGCACCCACAAGCAAAGCCAAGCACCCACAAGCAAAGCCAAGCACCCACAAGCAAAGCCAAGCACCCACAAGCAAAGCCAAGCATCCACAAGCAAAGCCAAGCACCCACAAGCAAAGCCAAGCACCCACAAACAAAGCCAAGCACCCACAAGCAAAGCCAAGCACCCACCAGCAAAGCCAAGCACCCACAAGCAAAGCCAAGCACCCACAAGCAAAGCCAAGCACCCACAAGCAAAGCCAAGCACCCACAAGCAAAGCCAAGCACCCACAAGCAAAGCCAAGCACCCACAAGCAAAGCCAAGCACCCACAAGCAAAGCCAAGCACCCACAAGCAAAGCCAAGCACCCACAAGCAAAGCCAAGCACCCACAAGCAAATCCAAGCACCCACAAGCAAAGCCAAGCACCCACAAGCGAAGCCAAGCACCCACAAGCGAAGCCAAGCACCCACAAGCAAAGCCAAGCACCCACCGCTGATGATGGGCATCTTGTCCTCTGAGAAAGGAGTCATGCCGTCGCTGCGATACTTCCCCGCCGCCTTGTTGGCCTCCCAGCAGCTACTGCCTACCACTTACCACCTACCACCTACCACCCACTGCCTACCACTGCCAGACACCACAGCCAGGCACCCTCACGAATCACCCACCACTAATGATGGGCATTTTGTCTTCTGAGAAGAGAGTCATGCCGTCGCTGCGATACACCTCCATCTGCTCGTCGATACTCGCGTTGCGTTACTTCCCCGCCGCTTTGTTGGTCCCCTAACAGCTACTGCCTACCACCTACCACTGCCAAACACCACGGCCAGACACCCACCCTCTGTTCGTGAAGCAGCACCCACCGCTAATGATCGGCATTTTATCTTCTGAAAAAGGTGTCATCCCGTCGCTCCGATACACCTCCATCTGCTCGTCGATGCTCGCATTGCGATACTTCCCCGCCGCTTTGTTGGCCTCCGCCTCAACGAACACGTCAAACCGCTTGTAGTGCTTCGATATCGCCCAGGAGAAATTCCCACGCCACAGGAATCTGAAGGTGTGGAAGGAAGTGTGCAGGGTTGGTAATGGGTGAGGATGGGTGGAAGTGGGTGCATGAGCCTTGTTGGCCTCTGCCTCCACAAACACGTCAAACCGCTTGTAGTGCTTCGAGATCGCCCAGGAGAAGTTGCCGCGCCACAGGAACCTGAGAGCGTATGTATGGTTTTATGGTGTGGGGTTGGGTGGGGATGGGTGACACTGAGCAATGATTGCCTCCGCCTCCACAAACACGTCAAACCGCTTGTAGTGCTTCGATATGGCCCAGGAGGAATTGCCCCGCCACAAAAACCTGCAAAAACCAGACCGTACCACACCACACCATACAGCACCACAGTGTACCCCTCGAGAAAAGGATCAGGTAGGGGTCCTGCACGTGCTGCAACTTGGCATCCACCCACACAGCGCAAGACAAGGATGCCACACCATACCACAGCATTCTGTACCATACCACAGTATCGTACCATTGTACCGCACTGTACCGCACCAGATTGCACCACACCGCATACCTCTCAAGGATCATGTAGGGATCCTGCACGAGCAGCAACTGTCCACCCACATCGCACAGGGATAACGCACCATACCACATTATAACATGCCACGCCACACACCACCGTACCGCACCACACTGCACTGCATACCTCTCAAGGATCATGTAGGGGTCCTGGACGAGCTGCAGCTTTGCATCGACCCACATGGAGAATTGCACATTTGGGAAGAGGCGGTGAATGAGCAGCTTGGGGATCTGCGTGGGTGTGGGAGAAGGTGAAGGAGGGAATGGGGTTTTGGGGAACACAGAAGGTCGGTGGGGAGGATAAGATTTTGACGGAGATAGGGAGTGGGAAGAGGGGTATCAGCTTGGCGTCTACTTACACGGAAAAATGCATGCTGGGGATACTGCACCCACATGTAAGAGCAGCTTGACCACTGTGTTGCCATATGGTTTCTGCTAAAGCTGAGTTAGTGCAGGTTGTGGAAACAACAACGAGCCCGGTAACTGGAGATGCAATTGGTGCTCTTGAAAAAATGTCACTTGGAAAAAATGAGATCAAAGAGACAATTGTAACGGTAGCTTGGCTCTTTACAATTGACTTCCCAATCGCATTTGTTCCAAGCGACAGCCTTTCAAAAGCACCAATGACATCTCCAGCTACAGGACTCGTTGTTGTTGCCACAACCTGCATGAACGTAGCTTTGAGACGTCTTAAGAACTGTAGATGGTATCGTCCACAAACATCACATGGCACATCCCCTTCAACTGCTCTTCTGCTCTCTCTGCTCAACTACTCCTTCACTCTACCATCACCATCACCCAACCCTCGCCCTCACCTTGCCCGTGCGCCGGGGGTCCCTGTAGGGTGGGTTGTGCACAACAACAAGCCGCCACAAGCCCACTCGCCGGGTGCGGGGCTGCTTGAGAGTGCCGTCGCGGATAAACTCGTTGAAGGTGGTCTCATCCACAAACATCACGAAGCACAGCTGCTGCCTCGCCTCCTCGCTGATGTTGCTCGGCTGCTGTACCAGATCATAGGCGCCTGGTGGGAGGGAGAAGGAGCATGGACATGGGCATGGGCATGGGCATGGGCATGGCATGGGCATGGGCATGGCATGGGCATGGGCATGGGCATGGGCATGTCGGAGAGCATGAGAGAGCGGGTCTGAGTGTGGCACGCAATGCTCGGGTGCCGCAACAGGTTCTATCCGCCTGGTTGGGGAGAGGAAGCACACGGGCACGTGGGAGAGCAAGCGGGGAAGAGGGTGGTGGGATGAACTCGTTGAAGGTTGTCTCATCCACAAACATCACAAAGCACAGCTGCTGCCTCGCCTCCTCGCTGATGTTGCTCGGCTGCTGTACCACGTCGTATGCACCTGGTACAGGAGAGGAAGGAAGGGCATGTGAGAGGGCATGTCGGAGGGCATGTGGGAGGGCATGTGGGAGGGCATGTGGGAGGGCAAGTGAATGGGCAGGATGGCAGTAGAAGGATGAACTCAGTGAAGGTCGTCCGCATACATCACGAAGAGGCAGTTCCCAAGCTGCAGTTCCCAAGCTGCAGTTCCCAAGCTGCAGTTCCCAAGCTGCAGTTCCCAAGCTGCAGTTCCCAAGCTGCAGTTCCCAAGCTGCAGTTCCCAAGCTGCAGTTCCCAAGCTGCAGTTCCCAAGCTGCAGTTCCCAAGCTGCAGTTCCCAAGCTGCAGTTCCCAAGCTGCAGTTCCCAAGCTGCAGTTCCCAAGCTGCAGTTCCCAAGCTGCAGTTCCCAAGCTGCAATTCCCAAGCTGCAGCGGCAGTCCCAAGCTGCAGCGGCAGCTGGGGACTGCACGCCATACCACATTGCACACTCTCACCAAAGATGGCCGACACCACCATGATGTCGTAGCAGCGCTCCATGAAGCGCCTGTCAACACTCACCAAGCACACCACACACAGCACCATGCCACTCTTCTCACCATGCTACACAAAGCAACTCTCACCAAAGATGGCCGACACCACCACGATGCCGTAGCAGCGCTCCATGAAGCGCCTGTCATCATGCGACACGTCAAAGCCCAGACAGCACCATGCCATTCTTCTCACAGCATTCCAAGTCTCTCACCAAAGATGGCGGAAACAACAACAATGTCGTAGCAGCGCTCCATGAACCGCCTGTCATCATCCGACACGTCAAAGCCCGTGCCGTTGCCCACCTTGCCGCCCCACACAAAGCTGATATGGGGTGGATGGACGGGTGGGGATTGGGGGATACGCGACGCAGTGGGGGAGAAGGGAGTGCGGAGGGAAAGGGGATGCATGGGTCACACTGTACAGACCGACACGTCAAAGCCCGTGCCGTTGCCCACCTTGCCGCCCCACACAAAGCTGATTGGGAGGGAGAAAGGGGTGAGGGGAGAGAGGAGGAGTGATGGGGAGAGAGGAGTGGCGGGGAGAGGGGAGGAAGCGAGGGGAGAAGGGTATATTCGTATGATCCATCGCAAAGCAGTCCGACACGTCAAAGCCCGTGCCGTTACCCACCTTGCCGCCCCACACAAAGCTGATATGGGGTGGATGGGGAGGGAGCAGAGGCAGAAAGAAAGGCGGTGAAGGAGGGGAATTCTTTAAAGATGACGCAACTGGTGAGAGGCTGTTGACTACACTCAACCCACCAACCTCCAATCCCATCTGTGAAGGGCGGTGAAGGGCGGTGAAGGATGGTATGGCTGGTGAAGGGCGGTGAAGGGCGGTGAAGGGCGGTGAAGGGCGGTGAAGGATGGTATGTGTGGTGAAGGGCAGTGAAGGCTGTTGGTGAGAGGCTGTTGACAACACTCAACCCACCAACCTCCAATCCCATCAGCCCAGCCCTTCCCTCCCACTTCCCCCCATCCAACCCAACCCCATGCGACCCCTTGTCCCACTCTCCTGCAGTGCACGCACATGCTCTCCCTGATCTTGAACGAGTCCTCCCACTGCTGCAGCGACTGGTGCCCGTTGCACCGAGGGCAGTGAATAACTGTTGACTTTGTCCCATCCTTCCCAATCCCAACCCTCCCTGTCCCCTCCCATTCCCTGCCGCCGCCCTTTTGTGTCTCTCACCCGCAGTGCACGCGCATGCTCTCCTGGATCTTGAACAAGTCCTTGTGCTGCTGCAGCGACTGGCGCCCGTTGAACCACAACCAATGAGTAACTGTTGGCTTGTTTCGTCCTTCCCAGTCCCACCCCTCCCTGTCCCTACCCCTTGCACCCACCCCGACCCGCTCCCTTTCTGACTCTCACCCGCAGTGCACGCGCATGCTTTCTTGTATTTTAAACGAGTCCTCGCGCTGCTGCAGCGACTGGCGACCGTTGAGCCGCGGCCGGTTGCCTGCTTGCCTGGCAGCCCGCTCACTGGCGTCGTCTTCAGTCACATACGCAAGTCTCTTTCTGAGGCGCCTCAAGAGCAACAAAGTCCGTTTCAACCCAGCATTTTCCCACCACCACCCCCCCCTTCCCCTTTCCGCCCCCCAACCCCTTCCCCCACTCACCCGCAGTGCAGTGCACGCGCATGCTTTCTTGTATTTTAAACGAGTCCTCGCGCTGCTGCAGCGACTGGCGACCGTTGAACCGCGGCCGGTTGCCTGCTCGCCTGGCAGCCCGCTCACTGGCGTCGTCTTCAGTCACATACGCGAGTCTCTTTCTGAGGCGCCTCAAGAGCAACAAAGTCCGTTTCAACCCAGCATTTTCCCACCACCACCCGCCCCTTCCCCTTTCCGCCCCCCAACCCCTTCCCCCACTCACCCGCAGTGCACGCGCATGCTTTCTTGGATTTTAAACGAGTCCTCGCGCTGCTGCAGCGACTGGTGCCCGTTGAACCGCGGCCGGTTGCCTGCTCGCCTGGCAGCCCGCTCGCTGGCGTCTTCCTCTGTCACGAACGAGAGGTGCTTCAGAATAGGCTCCTCTGTGTGGCCCCGGGGGGACGCATGGCCATGGCGTCTGGCAGTGGAAGATAGCACACGGGACAGGCTGGTTTGACGGGGAAGGGAGGGGCAGGGGGGAAGGGGGGAAAGGGGGAGGAGGCAGATGTGTGGGTTAGGCAGGTGGTTTAGAGTCAGGTGGGACGTGAAAGAGAAGGTAGGGCGAGCATGGGCGTGTGCGTGCGCGCCTGGCGGCCCTCTCACTGGCGTCTTCCTCTGTCACGAACGAGGGGTGCTTCAGAATAGGCTCCTCCGTGTGGCCCCGAGGGGGACGCATGGCCATGGCGTCTGGCAGTGGAAGATAACACACGGGGCAGGCTGCATTCGTGGAGAGGAGGAGGGAGGGGCGGGAGAGAGGTGCTTTAATATCGGCTCCTCTGTATGGCCGCGAGGAGGACGCATGGCCATGGCGTCAGGTAGTGGAAGATAACACACGGGGCACGCTGGTTTGACGGGGGAGGGGGGGGGGGGGAGGGGGGGGGGGGGGGGGAAGGGGGAGGAGGCAGATGTGTGGGAGAAGGGCAAATGGAGAGGGCACGGTGGGCGCATGGCGCGTCTGCTATAGGCAGGGAGCACACGGGGCACGTTGGTTTGAGGGAGGATGGGGGAGGAGGGAGCAGGGGGGGAGCGGAGCGTGGGGGAGAGGGAGGGGGAGGAGGAGAGGGGAAAGGCTGCCCACATGTTTGTCCAGCTCACCCTCAAATGGTTACCCAATACACTCACGTTTAGATTCAATGGATTGTGTAGGTACTCACGTCTGGGTCCAGTGCGCTTCCTGTCGGTGGAAGGCGGTGGGAGGGTGAAATTGGCGCAGGGATGCGACGGGGGAAGCACGGGATCCAGAGGGTTGATCTGCGCAGGGGGAGGAGGCGGAGAGGGGGGCGGGGGAGGAGCAGGCGCGCGCACTTCCCTCCCCCTTCTGCTCTTCTTCGGTCTCTTCTCCCTCTTCGGTTTCTTCTCCTTCCGCTTCTTCTTCTTCCGCTTCTTCTCCCGTAGTTCAAACAATCGTGCCTCGGTCTCAATCTCAACCCCACCTTCCTTGGATACATCCTGGCCCTCCAAAGCACCCGACCTTTCCAAATCCTCGCTTCCCGAAGAGCCCTGGCCCCCCAGCTCATTCTCCCCCGCCGAAGCACCCTGTTCCCTCAGCTCATCCCCCGGGCTCGCCCGATTCTCCCCCCCCAAGGCATCAGGTACAACCTTCCCCTCTCCCTCTTGCTCCCCGGCAGGCGGAGAGTGGTCAAAACCGTTCTGAACCGAAGTGTGGAACGAAGGCCGCTGCTCGCTCTGACTCTCATCCGTCAACACACGTGACTGGTCGCTGGCGGATGGTAATCTCTCAAGACCAGATTCTGAGTCCGCCGTTACAGTCTCTGGAAAGGAATCTCCGCCGTCCGTTTGTGCAGGTGATGGCGAATCCACGGCCATCAGAGGGCCGGGGTCATCCAGCACACCGACCCTCTTCGCGGCGTCCACTGTAACACGGAAGAACGAACGGGAGAAGAAACGGCGAACGAACGTGAGAAAGAACGGGGGAACGAACGAACGTGAGAAAGAACGGGAGAACGAACGAATGAGTAACCACGACGGATAAAAACGAAGGCTCAGCGCATTTCTCCTTATTTTCCGAAAATCTGTAACAACATTGTTTCACGCAGGGCAACAAGCAGGTTAGGACGAATCAAACGGAGCGGAAGCTGGCCGACAGATCAGTCGGTATACCTTTTGGCCGACAGGAACACTTTTCAGCCACATCTCCCAATCAGTCCGCGCTAAATAGAGTTGACTTTTGAGTCGACTCAAAAGTCAACATTTCCCAATCAGTCCATGCTAAATAGTACCTTTTGGTTGTTGCGACTGGCCGGAGAATCTGAGATCCTTCACGACGAAAATGGTGGAGATCGAGACGGCAGCCAGGAACAGCACCATCATTGCTTTCCTCCTCCCTGGCAGGCTTCGTTTGTCGTTATTCATGGAGGAGGATCTGGTGGGTGCGGGCGACGCGTTCGACGAGGAGTGACGCTGCTGCGACTTCTGCGTCTTGTTGAGCGATCGCAGCGCGGTGAAGGAGGAGGATCGGTGTGCGACGATGTGCGACTCCTCCGGCGTCACAGGCGGCGATTCCATGGCCGGTAGGAGCAGTTACACGGGTAAGGTTGAGCTAGGGTGTTCATGAAGCACGCGCATGGTTATAATTCTGGATCCTTGAATGCTGAATTCTTGAGGCTAGGATGCATATCAAGACGTCGTTGGATCAAAGGAGTGATAAGTACGTCACGGAAGCAGTTGTAAGAATAACTACGATGGCCACATCGCGGTGGTTGCTCTATGAAGCATCGTAGCCGTTGATGTGATGGATTACAGATGCTGGCCTAAATCAATGCGGATGTCTGCGTGACTCGTTATCAGCCAAATTCCGACAGCGGTCTGCTGGCTTCTAGGGTTTAAATCAAGCTAGTAACAAGAGCGAACAAACCCGTCGATCGAGGAGGTGTTTGGCCTATCTCACGTCTTGTGAGGATTCTATTAATAATAGCTTCTCGTCACTCCCCTCTCCCGACGAGTGTCGCACTTCCTCTGGATCTGGATTTGGAAACTTCAACGCCCGACGAAACGAATACGAAGAACGAATTACCTATTCAACAGAGGCACGCAGCCGAACCGAAAAAATAAGAGGTCCGACGACGAAGACACGACATTCGGTCTCTATAAAAAAAACTACCGTAGTAGTCAGCCATGGGTTGGTAGCACATCCATTCAAGCAGAGGGGAAGATTCAGTTCGCCCAGAATTTTATTCCGCCGATTTAGATGGATAATGAACCGTATTAGAAGGAAAGTAATCTTGTGCTTTGGACCTCTTCACTATCCTGGACACTCCCAGAGGAAGTTCACTGTCAAGGAGACCTGACAGGTGCTACAAAAGGAAGTTCTTTTAAAAGAGTTCACTAATGAAGAGAGAGGAGGGGCCACAAGAGAAACAGATCATCGGAATTTGATTGGTGGAAGCTGAGCCGAATCCCCGCGAGACGTGAAGAGAGGGGACGCGCACGAAGGGAGCACACGATAAGTGATGTGATGCACGCGTCCAGCGGGTAACTCGGCCACATTATGCGATATTCACGACGGGTGACGACTGCCTGCACGAAACACCTTGCGTGACGTCGTCAATGGCGCTAAGGACGTGGACGATCCAGCGCAATCTGTGCGAACAGTGCAACGGCTCTGATATCTTCTTGGCCGCATGATGCCGCACAGAGTCTTGACGTGAAAGAACGACACCCCATACTCGCTAAAAACTGAGTCATAAACATGAACTTTCTGGATAGCATAATCAGTCTGCTAAAACAATCAGGAAGAAACCGGCCTCAAACCTATGGGCCTTCCTTCATTGTCGTACTCTATTGTTATAGGAGCACCATTCGAGTCCAGGCTTCTTCTTCCCCCCTGGATAGGGCATGCAAAACAGCAACGTTGAAGCATCAAGAAGAGGTTTGAGGGTGATCGAATAGAGAAGCGAGCACAGTGTATGTGGAAGTAAAAACTGTAGCTTACAAACCTCTAGAATTGCTGTGGTTAAGAGGCATGCTGGACTTCGTATGGTCGCAATCATTTCACTCGACTCCACATCTGCCACTGTCAGTTTCTTCGAATTGATGTACTGTGCTGCCGTAACAAAATCAGCTATACTGCGGTAACCGTACCCCAGCTGCCCAGCAAACCTTCCTGTTGCATCTGGGGTGTACTGAGGAGGTACGAGATACGATGAGAAAGGACACGGTGAATGGGAAAATGCGAAGTGAGCATGTGTGTGTGGCACTGCAATAACAGTTGTGTGTATATTGGACAAACAAGATAATTGTGAGTGGTTATACCTTCATGTACAGTGGGTTGAGTGTAGCAAAGCCAGCTGCATCAGTTGACATGGTGAATCCTCTATGAGCTTGATCCACCCGCACCTCACCCTGACACCATGCATACGGACATACATGATACATACATGATGGACACATGGTGCGCACATACATGCATTGTAAAAACATGACGCACGTGTCCCGTATGTCGTTCCAGAGCAGGTACTCTAAACCAAATGCACATGCTGCAATACCTGATGGTCCATGTAGTGAGAATACTGCTGTGTGTGGCAGTTAAAAGGAGGTGCAGTGTACAGTATTCCATGTGCCAATATAGAATCTAGTCACAACCCATCTGAACCAAATGCTTTTGCCATTCACTCCTGCCATACCTGGTGGCCCATGTAGTGAAAGTACTGCTGTGTGTGGCAGTCAGAAGGAGGGGCAATCCAGCTTGCAGTGTACACTGCAGTGCCGCATGATCCACCCTTGTTCTCCCACTGAACCTGCTTGTAGCGAGTACAACAGATAGTGCACGAGTTAGAGGCCAGTGCAAATGCGAATCTCTCGCATGGGAAACGGAATGGCTACAAACCGTAAGATTATAGCTATTGATGAGCACACAGCGCTAGCCAGCAAGCTTGAGGGCCCACAGACACACAGAAGCAGCTTCAATGGAAAGGCTTGAACCCGAGGCACACCATGAGGTAAAAGTGTAAGTATGAAACGTCTCAAAATCACACAGAAGCATCTTCAATAAAAAGGCTCAAACCAGAGGCACACCACGAGGGTAGTTGCATCCTCCACATCCACCGTATAGGAAAGGCTTGGTCAAGCGACGCACCATGAGAGTAATTGCGTCCTCCACATCCTCCGACCCAGCAGCACCTCCCCTTGCATCCTGCAGCACTTGGCTGGCCTTCCCCCTCGCTGCACTCGCCACCACCATCACAGGTCGCGACTGCCCCTGCACTGCCCACGCGTGGAAATCTGTAAGCGAGAGGAAGGAAGAGGAGACGAAGGGGGAGGGGTCGAGGGGATGAGGGGTTGAGAGGGCGAGAGGGTGAGAGAGAGAAAGGGGGATGCTGGGAGTGGGAGAACTGGGCAAGGTGGGAGTATGAGTCTTGACTCTCCACCCATGCACGGGCTCCCATTGGAGCCTGTGTCCTCACAGAGTCTTGATTCACACAGAGCAACTCTCAGAAGTGCGCAGGCTGCACTGACCTTTGAGACGTCTCAGAAGTGCGCAGGCTGCACCCACCTATGTGGTGCGAGTTGAGGTAGAACGATATGCCTGAGCTCCTGGCAGCTTTGTGTTGCTCTTGAAAATCCCTAACGGCATCTCAGATTGTGAGGTGTGCAAGCTACACTACACACACCCACTGATGTGATCCACATGCTGAACCCACCGATGTGGTGCGAGTTGAGGTAGAAGGATATGTCTGAGCTCCTGCCAGCCCACCCTGCATACCGTGGGAAAAGGGAAATGGGACGGGGAAGAAGAGAAAAGGATGACAGGCAGAACATACAAGTAACTAATAAATCAAGGGCAGCTGCAAATGCAAGGTATGTGTTTCTTTGTCAGTCACCTGCAAACGTGTGCAGCTGCTACTTCGGCTGGGTCATGGTGCTTGAGAAGAAGACAGACGAACTCTTTATGACAACGCGAATAAACACATTGGCAGGAGCGTGTATTGTGTTGTGTGAACACGACTCACCTGCAAACGTGTGCAGCTGCTCCTTCGGCTGAGTCATGGTGCTGGAAAAGAAGGCAAAGGGACCCTCTTGGCGACTCAAAGGACGTATTGTCATAGCTGAGGTGGGCAATGCGTGAGCAAAACTCACCTGCAAACGTGTGCAGCTGCTTCTTCGGCTGAGTCATGGTGCTTGAGAAGAACGAAAAGGGACCCAGAACCCTGATGCGGTCGCGAGCGTCTGAGACAGGGGAACATGGAAACAAGATGAATTTATAGTCGACTCAAGAGATGGCTTCGGAGTCAAATCAAGAAAGGAGACGAAAGAACGCCTCCCATGGAACAGTACATGACAGGGTTAACATTTTTGGAAATGTGTTGCGAGGAGGCAGTTATTGAACAGCAATGCGTTCACCAGTGTAGATGGGGTCGAATCGGTAGTGAAACGCTTTTTGCGGCGCGTCAGAAAAAACCACTGAACAGCAATGCTGGTCGACAAAAAGTGCTTTTTGGGTCGAGCAGCAATGCGTTCACCAGTGTAGATGGGGTCGAATCGCTAGTGGGGAGCCACGCACAGTGGCAGAAAGAAGCGAGTAAAGAAACAGCAATGAGTTCACCTGTGTAGATAGGGTCGAATCGCTTGTGAAATTCAACTGCCAGCAGCACGCCCTTTTCTCTGCACCGGGAGACAAGGAAAGGGAAGGGAGGGGACAGAGAGGGAGAGGAACGGGCTACAGCCGATGGGCCAAGGTGCGCGCGTGGACCAAGGCATGATGCTCACTGGTGCAGCATGGACCAAGGCGCGCCGGTGGACCAAGGAGAGCGCGTGGACCAAGGCGCGCCGGTGGACCAAGGAGAGCGCGTGGACCAAGGCGCGCCGGTGGACCGAGGAGAGCGCGTGGACCAAGGCGCGCAGGTGGACCAAGGAGAGCGCGTGGACCAAGGCGCGCCGGTGGACCAAGGAGAGCGCGTGGACCAAGGCGCGCCGGTGGACCAAGGAGAGCGCGTGGACCAAGGCGCGCCGGTGGACCAAGGAGAGCGCGTGGACCAAGGCGCGCCGGTGGACCAAGGAGAGCGCGTGGACCAAGGCGCGCCGGTGGACCAAGGAGAGCGCGTGGACCAAGGCGCGCCGGTGGACCAAGGAGAGCGCGTGGACCAAGGCGCGCCGGTGGACCAAGGAGAGCGCGTGGACCAAGGCGCGCCGGTGGACCAAGGAGAGCGCGTGGACCAAGGCGCGCTAGTGGACCAAGGAGAGAGCACGTGGACCAAGGCGCGCCGGTGGACCAAGGCGCGCGCGTGGTCCAAGGCGCGCTCGTGGACCAAGGCGCGCTCGTGGACCAAGGCGCGCGCGTGGACTAAGGGAGCTTGACAAATGCCGCTTACTGGGACTACAGGCCTCTAGCGTTTATAACAGAGCTGTTTTGCTGTTGCACAAGGTAGACATGAAGCTGTTGATTTGACTATAAGGAAGGCTACTTTTGAGTCAGCTGAGCATAGAGGTGACTTTGCATTGAACAAACAGCTTATTAAGGATGCTTACTCTGCTGCTTGCAGGAGGTGGTGGTGGTGCTGGAGGGTCTTAACTGCAGGCTTTGCTATAAGCACATGGAGGTCTGCAGGTCAGTCAGAGAGGGATGACAGGGAGAGTACAATGGCGCGGGGGGCATAACAAACAACAGCGATGGGAAAGGAGAATGGGTTTTGAAGCTACCGTGCTGGCACTATCCAAATCTGGTAAGAAAGCCTGTTCACCCTTGTGAGATCGACCACCCACCGTGTTGGATGGCAGCAAGGGCGATGGGGTAGTGCGTGTTGTTTGGAGTGAAGATGGTGACCATGTCTCCCGGCTCACTGCCTCTCCCTTCCGATTAACCAGCAGGCACCCAGCTAACACATGTGGCAGTGAAGTTAGTTCAGCCTTGTGAGAGCTATGACATAACCCACCATGCCTCCTGTCTCACAGTCTCTCCCTTCCAGCTAACCAGCATGCACCCAGCTAACACGTGTGGCAGTGAGGTGAGGTCAGCCTTGTTAGAGCTATGACATAACCCACCGTGCCGAATGGCAGCGAGGGCGATGGGGTAGTGAGTGTTGTCTGGAGTGAAGATGGTGACCATGTCTCCCGGCTGCATGCGTGCCATGGCTGCCAGGTACGCTGCGTCATCCTCCTGCACCTCATCTGACACATGCACATGCACATGCATGCATACGCATGTGTAAATATGCACAGGCACGACCGCACAGGCACATAGATGCACACACACATAAACATGCACACACACGCATGGAAAGGCAGAGAGGTGGCTTCATCAGTGGGCTGTTATCCCTGCTGCCTCTGTTAGGTATGATAACACATTCTCATCCACACACCTGGAGTGAAAGTCTCCAGAGTCACATCCATGTCTCGATACACATCAGCAATTTTCCTCTGCAGCGTCTCCCTGATGGCTGCATGGCTGGAAGGGTCGGATGGCAGGAGAATTTCTTTCTGGGCCACCTCAGCAGCCATACATACCTGGAGGATGCGTCTCCAGCGTCACGTCCATGTCTCGGTACACGTCTGCAATCTTCCTCTTGAGCGTCTCTCTTATGGCGGGGAAGTGCCGTCCGGAACGGTCACACAGCACCAGCCGCTGCACCTTGCCCAGCCGGCGCAGGTCCATGAGGGTGATGGCAATGACCCTGTACAGGTGGTGGGGGAACATGGGATGTGGTAGAAGAATGTGGTCATTCATAAGTCGCACAGCACCAGCCGCTGCACCTTGTCCAGCTGGCGCAGGTCCATTAATGTGATGACGATAACACTGCACAGGTGATTTGATTGGGTGCGTTGGGGTGGTGATGGGATGACATGACAGACAATTACTGCCGATTCTCACAACACCAGCAGCTGCACCTTCCCCAGCCGCCGGAGGTCCATCAATGTGATGGCGATGACACTGGATGGGTGAGCTGGTAGAGGCTTGTGGGATAGGAATGGGGTTGAATACTAGTCACCCAGCAACCCCACCTCACGTTGCACGCGTCACTTCACCTCACTTCCACACCCTCACATCATCCCTACACCCGCCACTTCACCCTCACCTCACCCCCACACTGCCAGCATGGCCCTTCCCAGCACATACCCTGCAGACTTGTCGCTCGCAGCTCCCTCCTTGGTCGGTACAAAACCTGACAATAATAGCGACCAATAGCAGGAAGGAAGTCAGATATGATCTCGTCGGTGTAAAACGGCAGGAGAGTTTTGCATTTGGCGTCTTCCCTCACCTACGGTGTACTCGCCAGCGCCTATCATAAGCACACTGATTGGCTGCTCCATCTCCTCGAATTCTCGTAATCAGTGACGAGGAATCCCGTAATGGGGAATTTTTCCTAATAAGAAAGAGGAGAAGTTGACCCAACGCGATCAGCGCAGGGCGTGGGATTCCGTCTACGAATGCAAGGTCAGTTCAGTACGTTTTGGTTTCCGCGTGATGCATCTGTGCAAGGGTAAGCACCGATGTGCTGCTGATAAGCGCCTGATGTCTCACACCGCAGACGTTGTCCCACACAGCCTGATTCCCTGCTGTGTTTTGGACAAGTTCCGTGGAACACTATTTACTAACGTGACAAAAACCTTGATCATCTGCTTGCTAATCGCGACCCGCATCGCGCATCTACTACGCTCAGTCGAATCCAGCTATTCGGAGTCTTGTGTTGGGAACATGTGGCTCATCACACAAACATCTCAATATGTTGAGAATTAGTGGATTGGGATGCCAGGCAGGCAGGGGGATATGGCAGGCACACCTACCAACATTCCGTGTATATGCGCTGGGAAAAAAGCTAGCTGCATTTGACTTTCACATGAAATGAAAGGGACTATTGTTCCATTTCTGATTGCATAAAGCGTGTTCCTACGGCCGAAAACGAATTCATGAGTGTTTCGTTTCTATGTTAGAGCTTCTTGTTCCATTTCTGATTTCACATTGTTGCCAAAACGCATCACCATCCTAGTCGACCCTTTCAGCACTAATGAGCCTTGGTCTTTCCCCGGATTTTCCCTCTTCGTCCTTCTCTCCCTCCAGGAACAAGCCCCTTGTCACTCTCCTTCCCATCTTTCGGCTCCCCTTGAATTTCAACTTTCTTCTTGGCCTTCCCCACTGGAATCCAAGCCAGGGAGCAGAAGAAGGCGAGCAGAAAGAGCACCGAAAACCTGACCTCGATTCCATCCCAGGACGATCGCATCGCATAGAACGCCAACACCGACAATCCCACTGTCCCCCCAGCAGAAGGACCTAAAAGGGCCATGAACCCCCCAGCAACCACCAGGAAGCTTCCGCCGATCATATCAATGTCCTGGTCTTTGAAATCCTCCCAGGATGTGGGAAAGGAGTGCGCATACGGATCCTTTGCGATGACCGGATCCAACGGCTGTAAAATGCGGTCCCATTCAGGTAACTTGAAGGGCTCCCCAGAGAAGGTTTTCTGGAGACTTTGGGCGATAATTCCCGGGTAGAGCAGGCAGCGGAGCAGCGTGGAAGGCGCTCGACCGTAGGCGTGAAGCTCTGTGACGACTATGTCAAGCGGAGACTTGCAGCGGATTCCGGAACATGGCAGACTGCGAGAAGTGAGCGGATTGGGAGAAAAGCAGAATAAGTTTTCATGGTGAAGCGAGATTCAAGCGAATTTAATAGAATTTGCCGGAAGTTTGCCCACTCAACTCGAAAAACGGAGCTCGAAAGAGGATCAGGAGGAAAAACATATGGCTGAGCCGCGTTTGCCATGACCATACAGCCGGTTTCCGCAGGTCCATTTCGAACGGAAGTGAGATGCAAAACGAGAGTAGAAAAGCGTGACTGGGCAAGATCTTCTAGCGCCGGACAGGGGTGGGAAGCTGCGAGGGCTTTTTGTGAAACACCAGTCTCTCGCCTCGCCCCCTGCTGGTGAAATTTTACTTTACGATATGCGCTTACGATATATCTCGTTTATTTGCAAATCACATTATGATCTGCCGAGGCTGTCAATATCGGAAACGAATACTAATGTTGTAGCCACGAGCCGATTGCAGCACGCCAATGAACATCCACCAGCTGGTCACCTGCCTTCACACGCGGAAAGCACTCTGGGATGCCATATCACCAGCCTTTGCTGACTCAGCTCAGCCGGGAGTCGCGAAAAGACGGAAATGCTGAAATCGATCTTTGCTGCTCCGTCAATCACCGCTCGATGTCACGCGCCTTCCTGTCACCCACCCGTGCGATCGCGCAACTCAACTCGCACCACAAGCGAACCGCCAACCGGATACGTCAAACGCCCCACCAAAGGCGGAGATTCGACTGCCAGCATTTCCCCCCTCCAGACTCTCCCCTCTTCTCCCCAAACTCTCGATCCGCCAGCGCAAGAAATGGAACTCAGTTTGGCGGGACAATCTTCAGCTGTACAACGATTGGCCACCCTGACAAATCCACGTCACCTCTCTGGGGAACATCAGATCAGAGATCAGTGTCGCTCTCCTCATGGGATCATCCCCCTCGCAACCCAAACTCGGCTCTTTCCCCCAGCCCCCCCTTCCCTCCTCCCTCTTCTCGCACTGGAGCCTCCCTTCCCCCCTGATTTCTGGAAAGAAACTTGCCTTTTTTTTTCTGGGATGATCTGATCTATCAGCTTCACTCCCTGATCAGATTGAGTTACTTCTACCAACCAGGTTTGACCAGATCAGTGACATTGAGCCTCTAATTTCTGTGCGCCTAGGACCGAAAATAGCCGTGTGATAACACACATTGCAGCTATGGCTTCTACAACGGCCTGCTTGTCCAGGGTGAATGTGTTCAACCCTCTCATCCAAGGGAACACTCTCAGGTCAAGATGTACAAGCACTGGTGCGTTGGCGCAATGCCATACAATGTGTTGCTTTAAGTGGTCGCTTCACTGCTCGTCATATCGGACCGACTATTAGAACAACAGCCTTGACTAACTCCTCTTTTCCCCCCACGTTTCTTCAAACCTTGTGTGTCGCTCCCCCCATTCTTGCAGTGCGCCTGGCTGCTCCGGTCCTTAGGCCGGCTCTCCGAGCTGCTCCCGTCGCTCCTCGTTGCAGCTTCGAGGACTCGTCTTCTTCGGCATCCTCCAAGCTCGTTAAACAAAGCACTTCTTCCATGTAACTACCCATGCTTAGCACTTTAACCATTATCACGTAACTTCACGGCTGGCTTAACACCTTGCGAAACATTGCCATAAACATAATGCATTTTTAGTTATTCGACCATCCTCTTGCAGGAAAGGAATATAGTAAGAACATGGCTATTTTTGGATCGCTCACAGATAGCACCTTGTTTTTCTGTCCGTCCCTGCAGTGTTCCTCACGCTGCTGAGGGTGCGGCCCCTGCTCCTGCCGCGGGCCCAACTCCCCTTAAGAAGTTCATTGAGACCCTCACCACCCTCTTCCCAGTCTGGGTAAGCAGCTACCTTTCTCGTCACTCTTTTGCATTTCCTTCCTGATTCATTTTTCTAATGCTCTCTAACTCCTACGTACTCGTTTCGCTTCACTGTCACTGCCCCTTTTTCTCCATCCAGGTCATTCTTGGAACCTGCATCGGTCTCGTTAAGCCTTCGGCTGTAAGCCTTCTCACCCTACGTCAACCCTCTGGCCTTCGTTCACTTTTCCTAGTCGTGACAAGGTTCAGCATTTTTCAAGATCAGGATTGATTTCTGAGTTACATTACTGTGCTCGTTTTGTTCTGCTTTCAGGTGACATGGCTCCAAACCGACCTCTTCACATACGCTCTCGGTTTCCTCATGCTCTCCATGGGCCTCACCCTCACCTTCGAGGACTTCCGTCGCTGCCTCCGCAACCCCTGGACGGTACGCATTTCATACCAGCTGTGACCGCCCAAATTCGTCAGTGACCAGTCATGCGATGTCTGGAAGTGTTTCTAAGTTGCGCATTCCGTTCCTCTTTGTTGAATCTTTTCACAGGTCGGAGTCGGTTTCATCGCGCAGTACTGCATTAAGCCGCTCCTTGGCTATGCCATTGCTCTGGTAAGGAGCTGAACTGAATAATAAGCTAAACACTCTCACATTGACTCTTAAAACCATCCAGTTTAGCAGCTCCAATCCATTTCAGCCTTCAATGCCCTCCAATTTCATTGTATTATTCCGCACTCAAACTCGTCCCATGACATTCTAATGTGTTCCACTCGGTTTCGCTCCCTGCCAATCTCGTTTGTGTTTCCAGGCCCTGAAGCTCCCCGCCCCTCTGGCCACCGGGCTCATCCTCGTGTCGTGCTGCCCCGGCGGTCAGGCATCCAATGTCGCCACCTACATCTCTCGCGGCAACGTCGCCCTCTCCGTGCTCATGACCACGTCAGTCTCCGCCCTAACCCCATAACCCTGCTACCTTTTCCCGTCTCGTCTGTCTCCGGTATACAGTCTTTCGAAACTCTCTCCGACGTCCATCCAAGCTCGTGGTTTTAGGTTAGGCGTGTAACCTCGCGCATTTTTCCTCCCTCCTTTCGGTCTGGCGCCACAACAGGGCGTCCACCATCGGCGCCATCTTTATGACGCCATTCCTCACCAAGATCCTCGCCGGCCAGCTGGTGCCCGTCGACGCCAAGGTACGCGTGATCTGTCATTGCCATGCCATTGCATTTTCCCCTTTTCAGAGCCATCTGCATAACCCTTTACTGCGAGCGAAGCATACTCAACATGATACCATGCTTTCCTTTCCTGCAGGGTCTAGCCATCAGCACTTTCCAGGTCGTGCTTGTGCCCACCATTTGCGGAGGTGAGAAACCCAAATTTCACCTCTAATCATTGTTTCTCGGAGAAACTGTTTCATCGTGCGGCGCCCTGACTGATAATCGTTTTTCTCGCATCTTTCTCTCGTAATGCAGTCCTCGCTAACGAGTTCTTCAACGACATCACTAAGAAGATCACCTTCTTCACCCCACTTGTTGGCGTCGTTCTCACCACCCTGCTCTGCGCGTCCCCGGTACTCCTCCATACCACTCTTTGTAGTTCCTCCTGTTCCATCTTTCTTGCTCCTTGAGGTGATTTGAGCGGAAAAAAAATACTCTCATGCCTGCTTTTAGACTGGTCGTCGCTTATCCTTTCCCTCCCTGACCCTTACCTCTCCCCTCACCCTGACATCCCCGTACCCGTGGATCATCCCCTCTTCCGTGCATCATCCCTCACCCTTGCATCATCCGCTCATCCGTGCATCATCAACACAACCGTGCATCAACCTCTCGCACTTGGCATAATCCCCTCATCCTTGCATCCCTCACCCTTGCATCTCCAGTAACCTTGAATAACCCCTCACCCCGGGCATCCTCCCTTCTTTCCATTGCCTACCACAACAGATCGGTCAGGTGGCGGAGGTGCTCAAGGCGCAGGGCGCGCAGCTTATTATCCCCGTCGCTGCTCTGCACGCCTTCGCCTTCGCTCTGGGATACTTCCTCTCGCGCACCTTCAACTTCAGCGAGTCCACCTCCCGCACCATCTCCATTGAGTGCGGCATGCAGGTGAGAGGTGCCTGTTGGTAGCGTTGCAGCATGCGTGCATGCACGTGCAAGTGCCACGCAATTCAGCGTAGCATGTAGGTCAGCTGTGCAACTAACACCACAGATGAGCTCGAACCTGAGTTCAAATTGTTTTAATACTGGCAGCCTCCTTCGTACAGCTGAGTCTAAATAACATTTTCCTCCCTTATTCCTGCGCTTCTGTTCCTGCCCATCTGTTTCTGCTGTTTCCTCTCGATCCCTTGTATGCTGCTTCAGAGCTCGGCTCTTGGGTTCCTTCTAGCCCAAAAGCATTTCTCCAACCCCCTGGTCGCTGTGCCATCTGCTGTCAGCGTTGTCTTCATGGCTGTAAGTTTTTCAACATTGATTGTGGGATCCGCTCTTTGGGAGCCTTATGAGTTCATTCGACGGCTTGTGTTTGCCTGTTTGTCGTGCATGTTCTACGGCTGTGGTATCCAGTACTTGTTGATAACGAGCTGACTTCATGTGTGTATCTCCCTGTGTGGCTGCAGCTGGGAGGAAGTGCTCTTGCTGTCTTCTGGAGGAACAACCCACTTCCCAAGGATGACAAAGATGACTTCAAGAAGTAAGATGGTTTAGGTGTGATGCAGTGGGACCTGTGGGGCTGCTGCCCCTTTCTTCAGGTGTCGTAATGTAGATGGTGTCTTGCTTTTGAGAACTTCTAGGTTTTGCTTCAGATATATGTACTACGTATTTGCTGGATTCCAATATACGATAGTGGAAAGTACCATGAGATGCTATTGTAGTACGGCTCTGGCCCAGGCTTGCATCCAACCAAAGGTGAATCTTTTCCCACGCAAAACCCCCTCGAAAATTATATCCTGTCCAGAACCTGACAGGCTCCCAGGTGGCTCAGGATCGTTTCTGAGGGAGAGTCACACAAGATAAGAATGAAGTACCGTACATTCATAAAGCCACAGACCATAAGATCTCTGAAAAGGATTGGGATGCTAAGTTCTATACATGCTTATCTAGGCATATATATGGGTTCCTGGTTGAAATGTCACTGATGGTGGCTATAATGTCTTGGATTGGGAAGCCCCGTGCATGTGTATTTACGTTGCAACTCAGGTCAACGCATGATCAAATGAAGTATAAAGAAGCGGCCGGTTCCCTTTATCGAAACGATACGTTGGGCGACGACGACGACGACTCAGCAGCAGCAGCTGCGACACCTCCATGCAACTTCGTCGCTGAGACGACGAAACGCATCCCTTTTCGCGCGATGCACGAATCCCAAAGGTGATGTGTTCGCGTTCGCGGTTTGCCGTTGGAAAACAGTTTTCGCACCCAGCCCATCAAGTCAGCTGAACTGACCGGGCCAGTCAACAGCCGCTGTGGCATGACTGTCAAGTCAATTGGCAGGCTGGAAAATATCAGCCGTCACTGTCGAAACTTTTTTCCTCCCCCATGCCACCGCCAAACTTCTCCCTCCCCTCAAATTCTCCAATCTTCGCATTTCGTGAAATTCATCGAGCGTGGAATTCCGCGACTCGAGCAGGAAATTCTCAAGTCAACCCAAATTCCCCCCCCCCTTTCACCAGGCCTCTTTTTCCTTCACCGTCCATCCCCGTATCTTTCCCTACTACCCCCATACCTTTTTCTACTACCTCCATCAATCATACCTACCCCTGTGGATGTTCCTTGTGCGCTTTGCGTTACTACCCCCGTCTCCAACCCGCAGACTGCAGTTTTAAACAATAACAGTTAACTCAGATTCGGCAGAAGCACCTAGAATTCCATCATCAAGTATCAAATTCGGCAGGAGCACCTAGGAATTCCAACATCAAGTATTCGAGCGACACAAATACTACAGCATTGCTGCTAATAATAGTTAAGACCAATAAGCACTAGGAACCAATGGGGGGCTGCGTGTCGATCGAGGAGGACCCCAGAGGCCGAGTGGGGCCAGCACCTGGCCGCTCATCGTCCCGCGCAACCCATTCAAACCGCGTTGCACCGCAAAGCCCCTCCACTGCAAGCAAGCGCTCGGCGCGCAAGTCCTCCCCGATGCCATCCCCGTCTTCCGCTTCCGCGTATCGGTCCGGCGGACTCCTCCCCAAATCTAACGAGAGCAACATCAGCGCCTCCAGTGGCGGCAGCGCAAGCGGCCGCAGATCCTGCCCGCAAACGCCGCGCGGGGGTTCCGCGGGCGGCTTCCGCACGCCACCTGGCTGCGGCGGGCTAGGGTCCGGCCGACGCGGCGGGCCGCTTGCGGATCGAACGGCTCTGACGAACGGCGGCGTCGCCACGTCATCGCTGCGCGAATTCTCGTACCAGGAGCTATGGATAGCGACGCGGAAATTCGAAAAGGAGGGAAAGCTGGGGGAGGGCGGATTCGGGAGCGTTTTCCGGGGAACCATCGAAGAGGACGTTTGCGCTTCGGGCGCGGGGATGGGCGCGGGTAGCGGGGAGGGCGGAAAGCGGAAGCTGCAGGTGGCGGTGAAGGTGCTGAATCAGGGGGGACAGCAGGGTGAGGTGGAATGGAAGACGGAGGTTCGGTACCTGAGCGAGGTTCGGCACCCGAACCTGGTGCGGCTGGTCGGGTACTGCTCGGACGGGCATCACCGGCTGTTGGCGTACGAGTATCTGCCGTACGGCAGCCTCGAACGATTCCTATTCACCCGTGAGTTTCACGTGGGAGCATTCACTTGAGCCGCGGTTGCAGCATATGCGAACTTTAAAATGTCTAAACCCCGCTGTTGGCGTTCGAGTATCTGCCGTACGGCAGCCTCGAGCGATTCCTATTCACCCGTAAGTTCAAATTCATTCGTTTCTTCGCAATTTCCTTCCCTTACCGCCTCCCTCCTACCTCTGCGCGCGGCTGCTCGTCCCCGCGCCTTTATTCTCGGCCCCCCCTTGCGTTCCCCTCTTTCCCTCCCCTTTCCCCCTGCCAGGCGCCATACAGCCTCTCCCATGGGCGGTGCGAATGAAGGTGGCGCTGCACGCGGCGCAGGGCTTGGCGTATCTACACGAGGAGGCGGACCGGCAGATCATCTACCGCGACTTTAAGGCGTCCAACATTCTGCTGGACGAGGTGCGTGCGTGTAACGAGATGCGCCATAACGAGTATGGGCGGGATTGGTGTGTCCGAAGGTGTATCCGCACCAGCACATCATCCATCACAACTCATCCGAACCCATCCGAACTCAACCGAAGGTGTATACTCTCATTCCCATCGAATTCCAAACCCATCCTCCCAAACCCGTGTGCTCAAATCCCCGTCACGCACCTTCCCCAATCCGCACCACAGGACTTCAACGCAAAGCTCTCTGATTTTGGCCTGGCAAAGGACGGACCCGAGGGCAACCAGACGCACATGTCAACGCGGGTCATGGGCACCTACGGCTATGCCGCCCCAGAGTACATGATGATGGGCCACCTCACCACACCTCACTGCCAACTCGGGCGTTGACAGACACTCATATCTCCCTCCCTCCTCCCTCCTTACTTCCTCCCCACACTCCCTCCTTCCTTTCCTCCCTCCTTCCACACCCCCATCCTCCCCTCTCAGGATTTCAACGCGAAGCTCTCTGATTTTGGCCTGGCAAAGGACGGACCCGAGGGCAACCAGACGCACGTGTCAACGCGGGTCATGGGCACATACGGCTACGCCGCCCCTGAGTACATGATGACCGGCCACCTCACCCCACCTCACTGCCGAGTCAGGCGTTGACAGGCACTCATCACTCCCTCACTCCTTCCCTCCTCTCCTCCTTCCCTCCTTTCCTTCCTGCCCTCCACACCACATCCCCACCCGCTTTCGCGCCCCCATCTTTCAGGATTTCAACGCAAAGCTCTCTGATTTTGGCCTGGCAAAGGACGGTCCCGAGGGCAACCAGACGCACGTGTCAACGCGGGTCATGGGCACATACGGCTACGCCGCCCCCGAGTACATGATGACTGGCCACCTCACCGCCAAGTCAGACGTCTACAGCTTCGGAGTCGTTCTTTTAGAAATGATTAGCGGGCGGCGGGCCATGGAGCCGGAGTTCCCGAGGCGGCAGCAGAACATCGTCGAGTGGGCGCGGCCGTTTTTGGTCGATCCGAGCAAGATGCTGCTATTGGTGGATCCGAGGGTGGGCGGCGAGTATTCGGTGAAGGGCGCGCAACGAGCGGCGGTTCTGGCGCGCAAGTGCTTGAATAAGGACCCGCACGCACGGCCTCTCATGTCGGAAGCGGTTCGGGTGCTTTCTTCAATTCAAAACTTGACGGATTTCGCGAGCAAGCTGGAGCAGGCTCAGCGGCTACACGGTACTTAGTTAAGCGCTCCTTGGTGTGGGAACCAAGCATTCCTGCAGACCCGAGCAAGATAAACCTGGATCTAGAAGCAGGACTAGCTATGAATCGCACAGCTAGCATCCTGCGGGAAAAGAAGTGCTTTTATGAGCGGTCATGTAGGAGTGTAGAAGCTTTGCTTGTTGCAAAGCACTGTAGATATAGTTTGTTGGTAGTACCGTATGATACAAACTTGGCTCATTGAACATCAATGACCGGTTTAGTGGGAATGGATAAAACTTACAGCATCTATAACGCCCACATGTTTATTGCTATATTCCCTCTTTGCACCTCTTGTATATCTCACATCTTCACAGTTACTTCTGATGCATGCCGGTCCGCTATTCTGCAAGCTGGCATAAGTGCCTACGACCCATGCTCTTCCTCACCCCACACACTATGGTATCAGCTTCCTTACATGTCCCCATGCATTTTAATGCGCTACCAAATTCTAGCATGCCGTGTTGCTCACCAGAACACAGAAAGTTAGTTGTGAATGAATTATGATGCCACCCTAGCGTTATGAATGTTGGCTATGATCAATTATGCCAACTCACTTTGTTTCATTATCAGGTTTTTGATGTTTGCTAATCTGACATGAATACACCTCCGCAGCAGATAAAGGGTGCACTGCTGTGCCCTAGGTGTAAGGATTTACAAATCCTTACTGAGGCGCTCGATAGCGAGGCCATCCCGAGGGCCACGCGACCAACTGGTTCGGCCTACAATTTCGCATCCCAACCTCACCGAGCCGCCTCCGCACCAATCGCGACACTTCGCGAGCCAACCCTACCACACCATCCTCGCCTAGCTAGGTTTTCCCCTATTTAGGCCTCGCTACTTCATTGTTCAGGCATTCTGTAGTTCAACATTCTCGTTATTCGATATCTGCGCACTCTGACAAGTTCATTCATAACACCTGGTATCAGAGCTACTTTCCTAACCTAACCCGCTTTTTAGAGTGTAATACCCCTCGGGGGGGGGGGACGAGTAAGGATGCCTTGGGGTCCAGGAGTTGCGTAGGCCGGCCAAGAGAACTAGTTAGTTGCTCTTCGCGGCCATAGTTTTACGGGGCACTCCTTCGGCACCGCCAGATCCTTAGCTCGAACGGTCGCGATCGACCGTGACCTCCCTCCCCCCGAGCAACGGACAGCTGGAGCTGTCACGACTCTGAACGTGAGTACTATTCCGCTGCGTTATTTACCGACGATTTCGGATTTTGTGAGGCAGCTGGCGTCAGCGGACTTGCGTCGGCGCCTGCACGAAGATTTCGGAATCGTCAACGGGTGTGGCAGTTGACGCCGTCGGATTTGGGTCAACAGCTGCGCGACAATCTCGGAGCTCGTCTGATGCGGCAAGTTACGACGGTGGCTCGTCGTCACTTTGCGGGCATGGCTCGCGGGAGGTGTTTCGGCAGCTGGCGACAGTGGATGTGCGTCACTGTGGCGATAATTTCGGAGCTACTGTTGAAGAAAAGTCGGTTGGGGAACTCGCCAGGCGCAAAAGGAGTTTGCGTCCGAAAAAGTCGGTGGCGAGGAGAGACGACACAAGACTGCCCGACTTAACGGGAGTTAACTGCCGTCCCGCCCGACCTGTTAAGTGCGGCGGCTTTTACCGCATTGGCGGGCGCGTCATCAACTATTTTCGGCAGGAGTGCTCGTGGACAGACGGGGCTTCATACCTGCTGACGCTTACGGGCTGCAACGGAAAACGCGGTGGCTAAACCGCACTTACGAGGAGTGGGACGCAGGCGACGAAGGAAATCGGGGCAGGTACACCTCGAAAGAACTCGTGCGACGCTGCGTGCCTGGTGTTGTTGCAAGCTGGCCGGCAGTATCGAGAACAGTTTCCCCTGACCAAGGACGTTGTTTTCGGGGACAGCTGCTGACAACCCACGGTTAAACGGTGTCCAAGGTACCGCCCGATAATTTCGGAGGGGTCGGTACAGGCTGCCGGGACACGCGAGAAGAAACGGCCCAACGGCTAAGCGGGGGTTGAAGAACGTTGCGGGGGCAGATTAAAAGCCGGTGGAATCGATCTGCGGCCCTACTTCGCCCGAACCTCACCATCCCCACCAAGTCCTGGTTCTGACTCATGCAGTCAACCTACTTGGCCGAATAACGGGGGTGAACACGTGGCCTACCCTGCGCTGGTTAAAGGTACCGGGATTGGTGCCCGTTCAATAGCTGTACAAGAAAAGGATTAAAAAAAAAAATGGAGCTCCCAGCACTGTTCTACTCCGACAAAAGCGGGCTGGGTGAACGGCACGCGAAAAAGTCGGGGAGCTGCGAAGAAGAAATGGTGCAGTCTACAGGTTTCTCCTGACCCGGGCGTCTACACGAATTTACGGCGCAACGGCGAAGCTGAGACGGGGAGCTGTGGATTTTTTCGTGGCGTGATAGGCACGGCGGGCTGCAAAACGGTTGGGCGACAGTTTCCTTTTAACTAAGGCTGCCCCGACTCCGATAGTTTTTGCCTCTCCACCGTGGCCGAGTTCGCGTGGGCAACAACGACGATACCCCATCCGACAAAAGCGGACGCTGGGTGAACGGCGGGAAGCGGAATTGTCGGGGGGTGAATACGAAAAATATGACGACGGAGGGAAAGTTGTGGGTGATCCAGCAGATCACTTGAGTGATAGGTTGAGCCCGTGCACCAATCTACCGCGAATTTCGGAGTCTATTCGGTAGACCCCCGAAAGGGTTTGATATCGTTACATGGAGGCGCGGCGAGCGGTACATTGCCAAGGATACCTGGGATTCGCTAAGTAGTCCGGCGGGTACGAAGATGGGTGAACATCGGAGTACCAGGGAAAAAACGGCGGAAACGTCGGGGCTATACGGCGGAGAATAACTTCGGGACTGCAGCCTCAACCACGATTTTCGGGGTTATCTTTCTACAAAACAAAAAAAAAGGAGTTGAAGCTGAGGGTGTTTCTTCGTTTCTTGGAGTGCGGTTGATACCGATGTTTAAACGTACACCGCGGGAAATTCTTCAGGGAGCGTGGGAGCAGCCGAGGCTTCGGGATTTACCTGCCGGTGACGAGCGATGAGGTGAAACATCGCAAAGCGCCAGTGGGAGTTTGCGTGGTTTTCAGTTAAGCGACACCGACTGGAGCAGTTTCGACGACGGGGTCAAAGGCGTTGATGCCACTAGGTTCCGTGAAATTCGGTCTCGGAAGACCCAGGGCAGTCCCCGGTTCTCGATTGAACCCACATGCTGGGGTCGGGTAAACCGACGGAAACTGATGGTGACCGGGTGGGGGCTATAGCACGACCGAAGATTTCGGAGGCGAACTGCACCTGCAACTGCGGAGTTTCGGGGTTATGTTCCAATGACATTTTCGGAGATTTCAACGGGGACTTGCAGGTTTTACGGCGGGAAGCGGCGACAACATCGGAGGAGTATTCGGCGTTTGATTAAACGCGCGCGCATTTGTGTGGGCAACACTGCGAGATCTACACGGAGTTTTCAAGGGGTACGAAGGACTTACAACACTGGAGGTGGCAGCAGCAACAGTGGAAGGGGGGAGAGACAGCTGTAATTTTTTCATCTCTGCCCAGGACCCCTCGGCGCAACGCGACAAACTCCTCGGCGAGTCTGGACAAACTGCCGGGAGTAGCTGACGTCATCTGACCCTGATAAAGTGTTCGACAATTCTCCACGGAGCGACATTCAAATTGGTTACTGTTTCGACAACAATCGCCGACAATCGTATCCGACTTCGCGATCAATCGCCTTCATCGCCGACAGTTTCGTACCATCCTCGATTTTACGGCCAGAGGATTTCGGGACAGGAACTCCAACTCTACTAACGACAATTCGCCCACCTCGACCCGCCCAGGACAAATGAGTTTACATTCTGCCCACGTCAGGTGCTGCCAACTGCAACTGCTGGAGATACTGCAGGATTCTGGCATGTGAAGACAGAACAACTTCAGTTCGAGCAACGCAGAATTTTGGTTTCGGTTTCTGGTCTAATTTAGCTGGTTCGCCCTTAAAAATTTTGGGGCACGTAACAACTGGTTTCGTCATCGAATTTCCACACCGACACAATTCGCCTGGACTCTTCGCTCATCGCTCGTTTTCGGCGGGACTTAACACCCGGTTTTGTTTGTTTTCATCTCGGCGCAGCTGCTGGAACTTTTATGGTGTGTTTTCTTGGAGTGGGGGAGAAAGTGCTTCGCACTGTTCTTTCCTTGGCGTTTTCTTGGTCCTTTTCTGACTTTGTCAGGTTGCGTCAGCACGACGAACGACTACGATTGCTGCTTCACGATCAACGATCCCTACTCAATCGCGTTTGAATTCGCGTCAGCAGGTTCCCTCCAAAATCGCATCTGCCTCGACCGTCAGATTCGCTGCTGCTCGATCAACGGCCCACATTCCAACTTCCACTTCATTTTGGGCCAGCTCATCCTCATCCGTCAGATCGACATCTGACTGCATCTACGGCCCACAATCCAACTTTCATTACATTTGGGCCACTTCATTTTCGACCGTCAGATCAAAATCTGACAACATCGACGGCCGACATTCCAACCTCTTCAACAATATTTGTACGGGGCATTTCAGCCGTCGGATTCAGCTGAAGTGAAGATCGACGACATCCTCGCTACTGGGTGACCCTTTTCAGTACAGGGCTGCCTTATTTAGGAGGTGGGAGAGTGTAAGGATTTACAAATCCTTACTGAGGCGCTCGATAGCGAGGCCATCCCGAGGGCCACGCGACCAACTGGTTCGGCCTACAATTTCGCATCCCAACCTCACCGAGCCGCCTCCGCACCAATCGCGACACTTCGCGAGCCAACCCTACCACACCATCCCCGCCTAGCTAGGTTTTCCCCTATTTAGGCCTCGCTACTTCATTGTTCAGGCATTCTGTAGTTCAACATTCTCGTTATTCGATATCTGCGCACTCTGACAAGTTCATTCATAACACTAGGCAAGGAGTGCTGCAAGTAAAAGATCATCATGAACCTGCTTCTTGTTTTCTCTTTCCATCTTCTGTGTTTAGCTAAGGATTTCGGCCAACTGAGACCTGTTAGGACCAGTTTTTTTGGACAGCAGGCACACAGACGTCACCAAATTTAAGAAACATACAGTAACCCCATTTCAGCAGAGTTCCCGTAGGCCAGAGTTTTTAGCTCGGAGACCAGGGCAAGCTGACAAACAGCGGAACTGCCAGTTCTGCGGTTCACGTGACGAGATTCACCGAGGGCCGCTCTCAGCCACTTAGACAGCCCCAAAAGGATGGCATTCTGAAGAATGCATGCAAGGGCAACGGGACAACCAATCGGAGGAGCTTGATTGCTTGTGTGGTCTTCAAGTTATTGCGCTTCGAAAACGCAGAAAACGATTTTCCACCACATTTTTCCATCCGTAGATAAGACGGGCAGCGAGGCTTTCCGCTTTCTCGTAGCACAGTTGCGCAGCAATTGCTTTTATCACGTGACGGATCGGAAAGGCACGATTGTCCCTTCTTTAAAGAACGAACAAGCCAAGGAGAGGCCAAGATGAAATAAGTTAAAGAGATTATGGTGACGCATTTGCAGCCGCGAGGGCTGCCACTGTAACTCGTGTAGCCTTTTGAACCAGTCTTTTCACGAGAATGTCCGAGCAGTTCTGACCGAAAATGTTACGAGAAGATCTGCCATACCTATTGGCAGATTCGGTATCCAGATGACGCTGGCATCTTCACGTGGTCGCCAGCGTTCTGGAGGACTCAGGTCAGGTTACGAGGATGACGAAAACTTCTCATCTCACCGCCATTCGGGGCCAACAGACACGACAGCACAGGCTGGCCTGGAAACCCGTCTGTGCCCAGATTCGTGTACAGTTGGTGATTTGTGTATGGCAGCCCATTTGGTCTCCCCCATTGTAAATCTAGGCCGTCGATCCGAACTTCTGTGTCCACCCTGGCACTCCCGTGGAAATGACAAGGCACTGATGTCATTTCCCACAAGCGCTGGACACTCGAATGAAGCCCTAGCTCCATCCAGCGCTTCGGAGCTTTCCTTCGCACTTTTTCGCCATATCTTCCCGTTCAGCCCGCGATAAAGCGATATTTTGCTCGACGCCGAATGGATGGCTCGACACTCTGTCGCGCTGGATTGCACTTTTTTGCCCGCCAAACCCGCGTGCCCATCTGTGGTTGGATATTTTCTCCTCATCTCCTCCCTTCCCCCGATTCCCTCGAGATTGCGTGAAACAGCTCCCTTGTCCGCCCGCAACTCCTCAAGATTCCCCTTTCTCGTTCCGCCTCTTCCCCGCATCCCCTACTTGTGTGTAGGTTTCCCTTGTTCACTTCCCCAGTCTGCCCTTCCCCCTCCCCCCCCCCCAATATTCCTTCCGCCTTTCCCCCTTCAACCAACTCACCTTTTCGCTCCTTCCGCTTGCCTGCTTGCTTGCTTCAGGATAAGGCTGACAGTCTTTCTCTGCCATTCGTTTCTTTGATTCACCAAAACTTCAGCCAGCTAGGAAGTCCTCAGGTCACTTGTAAAGCAAAACTGGATCTAGATTGATTTCGTATGCGACTTTTCACTTGCGGAGCTCATGTCCTGTTTCGGTCTTAGAATATGCTCAAGATCCGTTGTTACGAAAATCACATAAGAATAGCCGTTGACGTAGATTTCCGCTGCTAAGAGTGAATTAGAGAGCGTTAGCAAATGGGTCGTCAAAATAGTAATGGCGGTCGTAGCCGGAAGGATCAACCCGAGGCTGTCGCGCTTTTCCCGCCGATACATGTTAGCCATGCGACAGCGGCGTCGGGCCCTAAGGCTCCTCCGCGAAACAAAATGGCACTCTACGAGCAGGTTTCCGTTCCGTCGAAGCGATTACGGCCGACGGCTCAACCTCTGGGAGGACCAACTATGAACGCACCCTCGACGTTTCATCCCATGCACAGCGGGGTACGTGCTCCGTGCGAGCGATGCTCGCTACTAGCGACGCTCTTTTCCAGCGACGTACGCCGACCGTGCTTTTTAAATATAAAGTCCAGGAAGTCTTCGACTTGTCCAATTTAGGCCCGTGGTGCTCCGTAATTAGCTATATACGAAGTCTAGTCTGTAAAATTATCGTTGTCTGTATCGAGGGAGTTATCGTTGTCTGTATCGAGGGAGTTGTTTGTACGGTGACAAGTCAGGAACTTAACCGCGCTTGCTTTATTTCTAATACTTTCCGCGCTTCTCCTTAAATTTCAAATTTTGCTCAAGTTTCCTCTCCCTTCCTGACTACCCCCTGTCGTGGCCTTCCTATCCACAGTCGGCGGTCCCGTTGATGCCTCCCAACTACGAGAGTAAATTCTCTTACGCTCCATACGCCGCCCAGCAACAAGCGCAGCAACAGCAGCATCCCACCAACAGCTTCAAAACCCCGCCGCAGGCCGGCAGCATGCTTCAATCCCATTCCGGAATCGCCAGCAGCACGGGAAGCTTCTCCGAAGCCGCAGCTTTCCAAAGCGCCGGCCAGGCTGCCTTAGCCGCCTGCGCAGCGCACAGCGCTGGCGGCGGCGCGGGAACTGCTGCCGCCCGGAACGGAGGCGGAGGAGCAGGCGGCACGGGGAGCATCGTTCAAGGAAGAAGCGCGGGTGTTGGCGCGGGAGCAGGAACGGGAGCGGGAGCGGTGAGCAGCAACAGTAACAGCCACGGCCAGTCGACGCGAAGCGACGCGGATCAATGGGCGTTCTGGGCATGGCAGCAGCGGCACATGCCGTGGGGGAACGGCGCGTCCCCCAGCTCCCCCTCTCCGCCAGTCATGCCGCAAGCTTCCATGTCCCCCGCGAGCGCCGCCGCCGCCGCCGCCGCCGCGATGGCCGCCTTTGCCGGCGCCAGCAACAGCAAGGACGGCAGCACAGCGGCGATGTACCCGATGCAGGCGCTCACTGCGGCGTCGGGTTTGGCCGGCAGTCGCGGCGACCCGGGTGCGGCGGCGGCTGCTGCGGCGGCCATGGCGGCGGCCGGCGCGGCGTTTCTGAATTACGGAAGCGCGTCGCAAGTCGCGGGCATGGGCGCGGGTACGGGTTCCGGCGCAGGCGGAGGCGCAAGTGGCGCAGTTCCGACGCTCACCCCCGGAACGTGGAATGGCGCATCGGCGGAAGGAGGCCTGGCGGGACTGATGTCGAATTTCAGCTGGCCTGGATCGGGTAATCCGAATGCGTTACTTATGATGAGTCAAGAGCAAATGTTCGGCGGAATGGGCGGATTCGGGGGAAGCTCAGGCGCGGGGTCTCCGCCCGACCGCGGGTGTATACACGGGGAAGGGGAGGCGTCGGGGCAGCAGCAGCAAGGGCGGAGCCCGTCCGCGGCGGCTGCACGTTCCGCCGCCAGCGAGAGGCTCGGGCGCAGGCGCGGGGAGGAGCGGAGCAGCCGCGGAGGACCTGCGCGGAGCGGAGTGGACGAGGCGCGGAAAGGGGCCTTGCGGAAGAGCGCAAGCACGAGGTCCGCGGGGTCCCGGGGCCCGGCGGCCACTGCGCCTGCCGGTGTAATCGGCGGAGGCGGAGGCGGAGGGGGAGGGGGAGGCGGAGGCGGAGGGGGAGCGGTTGGCGCGATGTCGACGACGAGTGGGCGGAGCATGAAGAGCACGATGAAGAGCGGGACGCGGGGCGCGGCGAAGGGCGGAAAGGGAAAGAAGCGGAAGGAGATGGCGGCTGGTGAGGTCGCGGAGCTTGTGGCACAAACGCCGCAGGAGCGCGCGGAAGGATCAGCGGGAGCAGCAGAGGAGGAGTTATTCCGGGGAATTGAGGTGCTTCGCGCTGCCGCCGTAGCTGCGCGGGAGGAGGAGAGGCGCGCGCGCGCCGATGCGGCGGCGGAAGCTGCAGCGCAGGCGGAAGGGGACGACGACGATACGGGGATGGTACCTGCGCGGGCAGGCGCGGATGAAGGAGCGGGAGTGGCGGAAAGGGGTGGTCTGTCAGATCAAAAGGGCGAGAGCTCGGGGGAGCAGCGCGAGGCGCGCGCTCTAGGGCGCTTCCGCGCAGCTGCAGCCGCCGCTGCCGCCGCCGCCGCCGCTGGCGTTGCTGCTGGTTGTGCGAGCGGCTACCATGGCGCGGTGGTGGTGGCGAGCGATGGTGACTCGCTCCCCCCTGCCACTGCTGTGCTCCCTGCTCGTCCTGCCCCTGCTGTGTCCGCCCGTGCGTCTTCTCCTGCTTCTGCTGCCTCTACTGGTACCGCTTCTCCTGGGGCTGCCGCTGCTACTGCTGCTGCTCCCGCGGGCGCGGAGGCGGCGGGAGGCATGCTGGCGATGGTGCTGGGGGTGGCGGGAGGGGTGGAGGACGAGGAGGAGGAGCGGTTTCGGCGGGAGAGCAGGAAGCGGAGCAGGCGCGCGGAGGAGGGGCGCGCGGGGGAGGGGCGGAGGCTGGGCGCGGGGGAGGTGGACGGGGAGGTAGCAGGGGAGAGCAAGAGGGGGAAGCGGGAGGGAGGGGGGGAGATGTGTATGGGTGATCTGGTTGGGGCGGTGGGGCAGAAGGAGTTTTGGCGGGTGAGGAAGGGTATTGTGCGGCAGCAGCATATCTTCTCCACACAGCTGTTTGAACTGCACCGACTCAACAGGGTATGCCATAATCTCGTGCTGCTTCCTGCCTTGTGTAGTTCCCTTGCATCCGTTCCTTTCTTTCTTTCTTTCTTTCTTTTTTCTGCCTCTGCTTTTGGATTTACGCGCCACTCCCTTTTCTTCTCCCCCCCCCCCGTCTGAACGTTTACAGGTGCAGCAGGGACTGATGCACGAGCCGCTCAACATCAAAAAGCAGCATCAAGTGCCGGAAGAGTCAGAGCAGGAGGAGCAGCAGGAGGAGCAGCAGGAGGAGCAGCAGGAGGAGCAGCAGGAGGAGCAGCAGCAGGAGCAGCAGCAGGAGCAGCAGCAGGAGCAGCTACAACAGGACCAGGCTTTGGTCCCTGCTGCACCTTGTGCCGGTGCTGCTGATGCCCCCGTCACTTCTGCTGCTCCTGCTGGTGGCGCTGCAGATGATGCAGCTGTTGCTGCAGCTGTGAGCGCGGAGGAGCCTGTTGACCAAGTACCATGCCCCCGCCGTCGTGCTGGCAGCAGCAGCAGGGCGCCAGGAATCGGTGCTGCTACGGAGAGATGTTTCCCTGATGTGCTTGAGAAGTCAGCCTCAAAGGACGCCAGCGCCGATGCCACTGCAGCTGTGGCAACACCACTGTCAGCAGCAGCCGCCGACGCGGCCACCGCCGCAGCAGCAGCTGCAGCAGGTGCAGCAGGTGGTATTTCCAGCACGACTGGCATGAAGCCGCCTCCTGCCCGTTCGCCCCATAGCCGCCCTCCTGCTTTCGGTACACCCCGCCTCGCCACCATTCCCGCCTTCCCTGCTTTCACCGACGCACCTCCTTCTGCTGCCTTGGATTTGTCGGGTAAAGCAGGGCCGACTGGAACAGCAGCGGCAGCAGCCGCTGCAGCAGCGGCGTCGGCAAGCAAGGCCGGTGCTGCTGCTGCTGCTGCTGCCGCTGGCTGGTCGTTTCCTCTGTATGCTCGCTTTGCCAAGAACGCTGATCCTGCTGCTGCTGCCGCTGCGGCTGCTGCTGCCATTGCTGCCGACGCTGCTGCTGCCAAACCTGCCGCCGCGCCTGCTGCACCTTCGGACAACGCCACTGCTGCCCGAGCAACGGCCGTCACTCCAGCCTCGTTCGGGTTCCTGACAGGCTCGGAATCTGCCGGACCTGAAGGCTCGGATGTGTTTGGCATGAGCTGGGGTACCGTGCCTGAGTCGGAGGCTGGGGAAGGGGAGAGGAGGTCGAAAGAGGCTGGAGGAAATTCATCAAAGTATGCTGCTATGCTCACTGCCATGGGTCTCCCTGCTGATTTTACCATGCCTGCAAATCTTGGCATCCCTGCCAATTTCGGCATGCCTGCTAATTTTGGCATGTCTGGACAAGCAGGCATGGCGGAGGCTATGGGCATGAGCTTTGGCATGGGAATGAACATGAACATGGGAATGGGCATCGGCATGGATATGGGTGCTGCTGCTGGAGCAGGAGGGTCTGCCTCTGCTGCGGCTGCTGCTGCTGCTGCTGCTGCGACTGCTGCTGCAACAGCTGCTGCTGGTGCTGCTGCTGCTGCTGCTGCTGCTGCTGCTGCTGGTGCTGGTGCTGGTGCTGGTGCTGGTGCTGGTGCAGGTGCAGGGGGTGCAGGTGTGGATGCATCTGGGGCAGGTCCATCTGGTGCAGGTGCATCTATGATGATGGATATGACGGCACTGCACATGTACATTGCACAGCAGCACCGCATGCAGCAGCAGCTGCGCCAGCAGCTGCAGCAGCAGCAGCAGCAGCAGCTTCTGCTTCAGAGCCTAGGGGGGCTCTTCCCTACCTTTCCTCCTGCTGCTGCTGCCATTGCAGCTGCTGCTCCTGCCGCTGCCCCTGCTGCTTTGACCGATGCTGCTCCTGCTGATGGTCCTGTAGCAGCTGCTGCCGTTAAGGAGGAGCAAAGAGGAGGTGATGCCTCAAGTGCAGCAGCCTTTGCAGCGTGGCGCTCTGCTGTTGCGGCATCTGCGAGAGGAATGGTAGAGGACAGGTCACAAGACAAATCACAGGATAAGTCGTTGGAGAAGACACAGAGAAGAGATGAAGTGAACGAAGGATCAAGACATGAAGATTTGGAGCTTAGCCTTTTCCCCTCTTTTGGGAACACACGGTAGTTTTTTTTTTTTGTTTGTTTTTTTTTTTTTATTGTGAAGAATGTCCACGGTAGTTTATTTTGTTTGTGGAATATCATATTTTGCCTTTTTTGGAAGACTATGTGTGTACAGTTTTCCGAAGGCTGTTGTGATAGGCTCTTGCTGATTCTCGTGTACCTCTAGAAAGGTTCTTCAAGGCGTTTGATGTTCACGCATTTTACCACAATATTAGTGGTTGACATTTTTCCGAGTCACGTGCTCGTGCTTCTTTGGCAGCGAACAGAACTGCACGCGCACGGGAATGCCATTCATGCATTCCACAAAAGCTGCAACCCTTTACACCCAGATTACAGGGTAGACAGCTTCATTTCAAGGTTCAGGTTTAAGATTGAGGCCTTTGGTGCTTGCCCCTCTGACCTTGTGATTTTAACGCGGAAATATTCTGCATGAGCTCGGGACTCTCTAAGTAAAACATGATATCGGTAGTTTGAAAGGGTAGATTGCACCAACATTTAATCCGGGGGAGCGCAAACAAAGCGCATCAATGCCTCACAAGATCCAAACCCACGTTGGGGACCTTGTGCTGCTGATAATTCTTGCCGTTCGTTTCTCAAGTGTCACGTGATTGAAACACTGTTTTCCTCCCGTTTAAGAAAAATATCTGCTGAGCAGCATCAACGATGGCGTGGCGGAAGATGGATTGCAACAATGATTTGGATCCCCACTCCTCGACCGCTGATCCCTTCGTGTTCACAGTTCGGTCACCACCGTTGATGCCAGCGCCGCGGACACGCAGACAGTAAAGATGAGTTGAACCGTGGAGTGCTCCCATGGTCGCGGAACACCTGTGAGATGCAGAGAGCCAGATGAACGGCTAACGATGCAGTTTTGGTCCGAGAGAGGGACGAGACGAGAAGCCATTTCCCTGCCACCATACCCAGTTACTGCCCCCACATCACACGAGTCGCAGCGAACTAACCAATCAGAGCTGGATTCCATTCTCTCCCTTGCAACCTCAGCGGATTGGACGGCCCTACGCGAAGCACTTTTGTGGGAACCCAGTACAACGAATCATGAAGCGCCATGTGGGCATCCTTGCTGGTCCGCTGAGCAGCAAGTCTGCCCTTGAAAGAAAAGTCAGCATCCGTCCTTGATTCTGCTCCTCCTTCTGTGCTGCCCATACCGCTGTTTTGGCGACAAGCTGGTCTGGTGGAACACAAACGACGCAGCTGGTTGGTTGACGAGGCATGCGGCGAGGTCTGGCAGTGTGGTGACTTTTTATCCAGTGTAGATCCCAAGCCTCAGAAAACAAATCACAAACTGGGGGAGTGTGATAATCTCTGTAGCTGCCCGAAACCCAGTCATTCACTAATACACCTGAAAAGTACTACATGTATAGGCTGTTTCGCTTTCGATGTCACGGTTTCCATCAAGCCGTCCACATGTTCTCCGTTTAGCCAAGTTCAGTCACGTCACGGATGTACCGAGGAACACAATTGTCGGTGTCTAGACCCTACCTTTATTTCTCGGTGTATTACAAAAGAAAGCTTCCTGGTTTGGGAAGAAGAGAATCCTCTCGTAGCCTCTCTCGTCCCGTTCGACGTCACGGGCACCTCCTCCCGCATCCGTCACCCCCAACTCCGAGGAGATAACGCCATGGATTTTCAGTCGCGGATTTCCATAACAGTATCACACGCCAGCTGAGCTGATAGTTTGGTTGGTAGCCTGGTCTGGTTGTTTGTGCTCCTGAGCCATGTCTACTTCACACTAGTTGCTGCACGGAATAAAGCACCCTTTTCTCTACTTCTAAGCTCAGGCTGCACTTGTCTAACTGATCACAAGTTTAGTTTTTGACAGCTGGAAAGGCTACACCCTCTTTGCTTTTCCTATCGCTCGGCGAATTCACCAGCCTCCAGCCGCTCGTAACCACCGCTTTACGGACGCTGAAAATTGCCGTCCTACAACCGCTCACGCTCGCCGTCTAACAACCGGCCGGTCACAGTTACAGTCAGCGGCCATGGCGACGCGAGTGTCGCTCCTGCCGGTCACCTCCCGCGCGTTATCGCTGGATCCTCCGGGAACGTCCAAGCGCGAAGTTAAATTCAGCGGCGGATTTCCCCATGCCCATGAGAACGCTGCAGGAACAGACGGGCTCCGGCAAGGCCTGGGAACGACTTATACCGAAACCCGAGGTGTTAATAACGAGAGCGGGAAAGGGGAAGCTGGAGGGACCGCTCTAGGTAGCGGAGCTTTCAGCACCTTAACGGGGTTTAGCGGGGGACTCCTTAACGGGGTCGGAGGCGGCACGGGGAGCGCTCCCGGTGAGGGAGGTCGATCGGATGCGTGGTCGACGCTCCTTAGCCTGCCACGTCAGCCACAGCAGAGCAGTCTCGGCCTTAATTTCTCGCACGGGCTTTCATTCTCCCCGGCTCCGTCTCCCACGGCCATGGGCCTCGCGCACGGCCTGTCCTTCACTCCCGCCGCCCCGCCCACGCCCGTAGCGCGATCGTCGTCCCACGGGCTCTCGTTCTCCCCCGCGCCGTCTCCCACGGCCATAAGTCTCTCGCACGGTCTCTCTTTCACTCCCGCAGCGCATCCCACGCCCGTACCGCGATCGTCGTCCCACCACCACCTCAGTCAAAGCCACAGCAAGAATTACAGTCAGAATCAAAGTCACAACTACAGTTACAGTAATGGCCAAAGCCCCAGCCACAGCACCAGTAGCACCCCGCCAGGAAGTGTTGGTGGCAGTAGCGGCGGCGGCGGCGGCGGCCGCGGCGGTAACTGGCCTATGTTCCGCGGGTTGGCGGCGCGGCACGCGTCCGCCGACTCGCTCTTGTCGCTCGCGTCGTCCGAAACTAGCAGCCTCGCGTCCTTCGCGACCGCGTCGGACCGCCTGGTAGAGCAGGAGATTAATCGCCGCGCCGCGTTAGACTTCGTCACGGAGCTAGCCGGCCCGCTGCAGCCCCCCAGCTCCCCCGCGCATTCGCTTTCGGGGGAGCGCACCCCACCCGCTGGCGCAACCCTCGGCGCAACATTCGGCGCAAATCCCGGCGGAACATTAGCCTCTGGCGCAGCGCTTCTGGGCGCAAGCCTTAGCGGGGACTTGCCGCTTTCCGCCAATGAGCTCCCCGTGGCGGTATTTGCGGTCGACCGCGACCTGGTGTGCGCGCTTTGGAACAGGCGCATGGCGGAACTGACGGGGTGGGCGGAAGGGGAAATCATGCGCTTGGGTCGATTCGCGGAGGGGAGATTCGCGGAGCGGCTCTTCCGCCCCGCCAGCGCATCCGCGCCGTTCCGCCGATGCGAGGACGTTCTCCGCGCCGCGCTCTTCGGCCGCGATATAGTCACGGCGGAGTTGCTGCTACTGAAGCGCGGAGGCAGCTGCGCGCGCGTGCGTTTATTCGCCAGCGCGCGCACCGACGCGCTCGGCGCGGTTTGCGGCGTGATTTGCGCCGTCATTCCCGGGTCTTCGGGGAGCGGGGGTGGGCCGGCGTCCGCGCTGAGCGCAGCTTCCGCGCATGGTTTCGACGTGGATGGCGGCGGCGGAGGCGGAGGCGGAGGCGGCTTGCCGCCGTTTGCGCCGTCGCTTGCGGCGGGCGATACGGAGGAATGGCTGCAGCGGAACGCGTCGGCGGGGAGTCTGTACGGCATGCACTCCGTGGACGAGGAATCCGTGGGCGGTGAGTGGTGGTGAGGGGCAGTAAGTGGTGGCTCGTGGTGGTGAGGGGCGGTGAGTGAATGTCTTTAACCGTTTTGTATTCTAGACCGCTGAGTCACTTAAGTAGCGCAGTAAGCTGCCCCCCCTGGTCTGTCAGTCTCCCTTACTAATTCCCTCCCTCCTCTGGCCACATAGTCAACTCCTCCACCAACCTCACCCTTCTTAATCCCTCTCCACCCCTCTCTATCCCTCTCTTCACAAGCAGACGACAGCGACGCGGCGAGCAGCTGCAGCGATCTCTACCAGCTCGGCTCCGCCCCGTTCGGCAGCAGCGCCGGTGGCGGCGGCAATTCCGGCGGCTCCAGGCGCCACGTCATGGAGCCCGTCTCCTCCAGCCGGCGCGCGAGCGGCGGCGGCGGCGGCAGCGGCAGCGGCAGCGGGGTGCGCGGAGGTCACGCAGGCGCGGGGAATAGTGCGGGCGCGGGCCTAGACGCGGGCGGGGGGGCGGGATTGGGGTCGACTGGGCGGCTTTCGTCGTCGTCTTCTGAGAGACAGCTGTCGGGGAGGCTTTCACTGGGGGAGGGCGAAGCTGCGACTGCGATCGAATCAGGGGCGGCAGGAGGAGCGGGAGGGGCGGGAGAGGCGGGAGAAGCGGGGGAAGCAGCTTTGCCTCTGACTCCGCCAGCTACGCCGCCAGTTGCGCCGCCAGTTGCGGCGGCGTTGCTTTCCCCTGTCAACGCGCCCGTGGTCGTGTCTTCGGGCGCTGAAGGCGTGGGCGGAGGCGCGGGGGGAGGCGCGGGGGGAGGAGCGGGGGGAGGCGCGGGGGGAGGCGCGGGGGGGGGCGTGGGCGGAGGCGCGGGGGTTCACTTAAAGCCCGTTCAAACGAAGCTAGCTATCCGACGCTCGTGCGATCTGCCAAAATATGGTGCGTCGCATGTTACACTGTTACACTGTAACCAGAGGTCCTTTCGCCATGTACTGGTTAGATTCTTGCTTGCACCAACTGCTGTTCTGGTGTCCTCAAACTTCAGCTTTCATGCCATACGCGTTAGCATCCCTCTCAACGTGCTGCCATGTCTCTTAATCTTCTGCTTTACACCTTTCTTCCCCTTTCCCCCCACCAACTCCCCTCTTTTCCTCATTGTCCGGTCGATTTTCTTGCAGCTTATTCCTCTCTGACAGGCATGCGTCGCAATATCAGCAGTGATGCTCTCAATAACGCGGACACCTCTCCATCCCACCACCACCACCACTCCCACCGCTCAGCATTCTCCTTCCAACCCACCACCCACACCAACACCCCTCCCACTCTCCCCTTCTCCTCCCTCCCCCGCCCGCTCACCTCCCGGCCTTACCCCACCTCTTCTTCCTCCTCTCTCTCCTCCGCCTTCTCCCACTCCTCCTCGCACTCCTCCTCCCCAATCATCTCCTCCTCATCCTCGTTAGTGCGTGCTCTGATAGCGGACGGAGTGACGACGGGTCGTAACGACCTGGCGCATCAGCTGGAGCGGTGCGGGTTTGACGTGGTCAGTGCCACGTCAGTGCAGGAAGCTGCGTGGAAATACGAGCAAACTGCTCTGCACGGCACGCTTCCTCCTCCCCCTGCTGCTCCTGCTGGCGCCGCTGCTGCCACCAGTGCCACAACCCCTCTCTTGCACAGCACCCCTGCTGCTGCTGCCACCGTTGTTTCTCCTGCTGCTGCTGCAGCGTCTAGTGGGAGTGGGGGAGTGCTGTTCTCTTTAGTGGTACTAGATCTAGAGCAGGCGACGAGCAGGGCGGGGCAGGCGGCCATACGGGACATTAGACGTGCTGAGCGGGCGCTGCTGTCCCGCCGCCTCACTCTTGGCACTGCCACGCCTGGTACTGCCGCCGCCGCTGCTGCTGGCTCTGCTGCTGCTACTGGGGCGTCTTCTGCTGCTGGTGGGTGTGAGAGCGGTGATGGGGACATGCGGTCGTTGGGAGGGCTTAAGGTGCTAAGTGAGGAGGGCGAGGAGGAGGAGGGGAGGAGTGAGGAGGGTAGGAGTGAGGTGAGCGATAGTGCGAAGCAGCAGTTGGAGGGGGAAGAGGAAACGGCACAGCCACAAGAGCAAACGGCAGTGGAATTTTCCTCCTCCTCCCCTGTTGCTGCTGCTGCTGACACTGCTGCTGCTGCTGCTGCTGCTTCTCCTCCTGCTGCAGCAGCTGCTGCATCATCTCCCGATCGCACGCTGATAGTGGTGGTGGTCGATTTGAGCCGGTACGACCAGGTGGGGCTGGATGCAGCAATGGAGCAGTGCATGTTGGCGGGGGTGGATGCGTTTATCCCCCGCTCCATGCACCTGCAGCAGCTGCGGACAGCTCTCAGGAGGCTCGGGCTGCACAGTAAATATCTCGTGCTGCCGGCCTCACTGCCCCGCGCACATTCTGCTGCGAATGTTGCGGGTGTTGTCTCTGCTGGTGGTGCTGGTGGTGTTGGTGTTGGTATGGGTGGGGGTGGGGTTACAGGTGGTGGTGGGATGGCTGGGTTGCATTATGGTGTTGCATCGTCGCACCATGTGTTTGGTCACATCGGGGCGCATTTATCACGATGACTATCTGGCGGAATATTATTAAATGATTTGGGGGTTTGATTCTCAGTGTCACCTACTTGTAGATGGATGCATTCTTTAGTTGCAGAATTCTACCATGTAACATTACTCGCATGCATTATTAGTTCTGACATTCGAGTCTTGTAACGCAGATCCGCGGGATTTCGACATTCTCGAAGATTCTTCGGACACAGCTCGCGTATATTTGCTGCTTCAGAATTCGACTGACGATTCTGGTTTCCACTCCATATCGAGTCATTCAGTGGATCCTCGTTTCACCAGTCAGGCGATCGACTGATTTCAGCGCAGCGTGTTCTGCTCTATTCTAGCCAAGTAGCTATTGCCGTACAGCTCTTCTCAGCCGCGCAATTCACAGCTACGTGACCTGCGGCGCGTGCGATGCGCGTGGAGTGAACACGATCGGTCTACGGTACTTTTGAGGCGCCTCGAGAAATCGGCGTCTGCGATGCGCATGGAGAGAGCACGACGACAACGTCCTCTCTCTCTTCGATAATCAACTGTAGTTGACGAAATAGCTTACAAAAGTCCACGAATTTTAACGAAAGTCAACGATAGTCAACGCAGTAGGCCATGGAGTGGGGAGGCGACGACGAGGACCTCTCTCTCTTCGACGCCGACGATAGTTGACGAAATTATCAACGAAAGTTAACGATAGTCGAAGGAAATAGTCAGCGAAATTCTACGATAGTCAACGATCGGCAGGCCATGGAGTGGGGTGGCGACGATGAGGACCTCTCTCTCTTCGACGCAGACGACGACGATTTCCGCGAAGCTGCCGAAGTGCGGCCGGCCATCCTGTCTTCGATCGCGCGGCCGGCAGCGCCCTCCGCGCAGCCCTCCGCCGTAGCTCCCGCCGCAACTCCCGCCGCAAATTCCGCTGTGACTCATGCCGGGATTCTCGCCGCACCTCCCGTTCTCGCGATTTCCGAACCAGCCAAGCCGTCGCATACAGATTCTATTCCTGTGGCTGCTCCGAACCTGAATGACACTCAGGATCGGATTGGGGAGGCTCGGATTGGAGAGGATCGGATTGGGAAGGGCGGGATTGGCGGAGCTAGTGGGGCAGGCGGAGTAGAAGCTGCGGAAGGTGGGGGAAGGGAGGGAGAAAGCGGTGCTGTGGGGGAGAGTGCGGTTGAAAGGGATGCTGAGGAGGAAGAATTGGACGGAGAGGCCGGTGGAAGGGAAGAGACCGAGCTGGATGGAAAAAAGGAGGAGGCGAGTGGGTTGAGTGGAGGAGGAGAGGAGAGTGGGTTGTCGCACATGGGATCTGCTAATTACGGAGCAGATCCTAACGGGGCTGCTGCTACTAACGAGGATGAATCGGAGCAGGAAACAGGCGAGCGGGAAGGAGAAGAGGAGAGCGAGACGAATGACATAGGCGCAGGAGGAGCAGCGGGAGCGGGAGGGGGAGGTGGGGAACAGGGTGAAGGGGATCAGCGGACAAAGGGCGGGAGAAAGAAGAAGAAGAAAGGGAAGGGGAAGGGGAGAGGGCAGAACGCTGGTCCAAGTGCTGCAGCAGCAACGCAGAGTACAGACTTAAGGGTAGATCTGGCACAATCGAATGACGCCACAGGGGGCGTCCCCGCTGCAGGCAAACTCTCCCCCACAGGGGGGATTCGTCCCATAGCTGGGATTTCTGCAGCAACCCCCGATGCAGGTTCTCTGAAGGAAGTATTGCGTCAGGTAGATGAGTTAAAGGGTGCTTTGGCGCGGGAAAAGGATGCTAGAGTGGCAGCAGAGGAGCAGGCGAAACGGGCAGAAAGAAAAGCTTCTTGCGCGGTCGAGGAAGCTGCCCGGGCGGCGGACGGGCAGCGGCGGGCAGAGGCTGAACGGGCAGAGATGGAAAGAACGAAAGCTGAGATGCTGAAAAAGCTGCGGCATATAGTAGAGGAGGCTGTGAAGAGAAAGAAGGAGGCAGAAGAGGAGAAGGCCATTGCCGAAGCTGCCGCCGCAGCTGCGGTGAAGGATCGGAACGAGGCTCGGAAGGAGCGGGACGAGGCTCGGGGAGAGAGGGACGGGGCAGTGCAGGAGAAGGAGCGGGCAGTGCGGGAAAGAGAGGGTGCTATCAGTAAACTGGAGCGGCTTATAAAGGAGCGGGATGGAGCGGTTAGGGAGCGGGAGAGTGCGGTGAAAGAGATTACGAAGCGGTTGAGTAGTGAGAGGGATGGTGCGGTGAAAGAGAGAGAGGTGGCTGTGTTACAGAGGGGAGCGGCTGTGAGGCATGTAGAGGCGGTGGAAGGGAGTGTGCGGCGCGCTGTGGGGAGACTGGGGAGAGAAGTGGAGCGGATTGAGAGGATGTTTGAAGGGATGTTTGGGGGTAAGATGGGCGATGGGAAAGTAGGTGTTGGGAGGATGGGTGATGGGAGGAGTGAGGGAGGAGTGGAGGGAAAGAGCGGTGGTGATGGTGGTGGGGATGGTGATGGTGTAATGAGTGACACAAGCGCCGGCACTGGTAGGGGGAGAAGTGCCACAGACGAGGCTACCCCTGCTAAACCAGCAGCTGCGGCGGCAGCAGCAGGAGCGACAGCAGGGGCAGCAGGGTCAGCGGCAGCAGCAGCATCAGCAAAAGCATCAGCAGAACAAGAAGAAGAAGACGTGGTTGCAAGGTTTGAAGCAGGAGTGCAGAGGGTTTCAAATGTTATCGAGCTTGTGGCCAAGTCAGTGCGACGGGAGAGAGAGGAGATGGAGGAGAGAGCGGTTGCAATGGCTATGGAAGTTTCTCAGTTAGAGTCTGATGTGGTTGATGCGAAGCTGGAGGTTGAGAGAGTGAGAAAGGAAGGGGAGGAGGAGGTGGAGCGAGTGAGAAAGGAGGGGGAGAGGAGGGTGGAGGAGGGGAGGGTGGAAGGGGAGAGGTGGAGAGCGGCTGCTGAGGAAGCGGAGAGGAGAGTGAGGGAGGTTGAGGAGGAGAGGAGGAGGGAGAGGGGGAGGGTGGAGGAGTTGGAGAGGGTGCGAGGGGAGTTGGAGCGGTTGAGAGAGAGAGTTGGGAGGAGTGGAAAGGCTAGCAATACAGACGGAGTGGGGACAGAGGGTGGTGGAGGAAAGGAGGGGAAGGAAGGGAGGGAAGGGGAGGAGGAGGAGGGGAGAGAGGGAAGCGTGGAGGAGATCAGATGGGTGGAGAGACGGTTAGAGGAGGCGGAGAGGGCTGTGAGCGATTGGAGGAGCAGGGAGAGTGAGGCACAGAGCCGTGCTGTTGGTGCTGAAACGAAGCTGGCAGCGAAGGTGAGTGTGTTGATGGTGCGACGGGGGCAGTTATATCATTTTAGGCGCGTTGGTGCCGGCAGTTGAATCACAGAGCCGTGCTGTTGGTGCTGAATCGAAGCTGGCAGCGAAGGTGAGTGCGTGTATGAAACTTGGATAGAGTAGGTGCTACGGTAAATGCAATAGAGGCAGGTAGGAGCAATGGCTGCATTTTCTCCGGATGCATTTTGTGCCATGAAAACATTTTGTGCCTGTACTACAATTACTGATCCCACTGCATTGTGTCCTCTTGCTTGCGTTTCTATTCCCCCCTCCTTGTTTACGTGTCTATTATTACTCTACTGCACGTGTGGTGGTGCAGGAGAGAGAGATAGAGCTGCTGCAGAAGCATGTTGAGGAGGAGAGGAGGGAGAAAAAAGAAGAAGCGGAAAGGAACAGGTGAGTGACAGGAGAAGGAGTGGGTTAGGGTTTTAAAAGATGCAGGGAGGTGAACGGGAGTGGAAGAAGGAGTTGGGAAAGGGCAGGTAAAGTCACAAAAGGGGAGTCGGTCAAGGTCTAGGGGAAATGAAGGAATGACTTTAGAGGGATACTGCATTGAAGATACCCTGCTTTCGGAAGAAACCGAATGGGAGTTTAAAGAATGCGGAATGAAATTGTTGTGTTTCGAACGATTTGTTGTGTTTAGAACACGCCCTGAACCCCGCACCCAACCCAACATGCTGCAGGGTGTTTTTGAGAATTCTCAGGACACGCCCTGACCTGAACCCCGTATCCAATCCAACCCCCATACGTCCCTCCCTCCTCCATCCTCGTCCCCTGTGTTCCCGCACAAGCACGAGGTGCAGCAGGTGGAAGGGGCGTTGCGCAAGGAGAGGGAAGCTGGGAGGAGATTGAGAGAGGCGCTGCAGGGGCGACTGCACCCCTCAGCCCCCGTCCCACTCGCCCTCCCACCTGCCTCTCGCTCGCCCCCTGTGTTCCTCCCCCCTTTAGGAAGGAGGTGCAGCAGTTGGAAGGGGCGTTGCGCAAGGAGAGGGAAGCTGGGAGGCGATTGAAAGAGGCGTTGGAGGGGTTGCAGAGGGAGGGGACGAGGGCTGCTGAGCAGGTGAGTGAGTGTGTGGGCGGTCGTGGGGAAGGGTGGGGGGCGGGCGAGGGAAGAAGGAGAGGGAAGCTGGGAGGCGAGTGAGAGAGGCGTTGGAGGGGTTGCAGAGGGAGGGAGTGCGGGCTGCTGAGCAGGTGAGCATGGGGGAGGGCTTTAATGGAGGAGGATGCTGGCAGGTGACTGAGAGAGGGAAGGGGAGGGTGCAGCAGAGCAGGTGAGTGGGGGGCGAGGGGAAAGGAAGAAAGGAGAGTGCGAGGGAAGGGACAGAAAAGCAGGGGGAGGGGGTGCGTGCAGCAGAGCAGGTGAGTGTGGGGGGAGCGATAAGGGGCCTTTGAAGACTCGGTAAGCCTTTTCGAAACGGCACGGGTTCTCAAAAGTCGGCTCATTTGACAAGCGTCTCTCCATGCAATCACCCTCATTTGATCTGAGAGTAGATGCACTCCCCTCATCTACTCTCAGGTCATATCACTCCAGGCAACTCTATCAGAGTGTGTAAACGCTTGAAGAGAGGGTATTTTTGAGACGTCTCAAAAATACCCTCTCTTCACGTGGCAACCCACTCATCTACTCTCAGATCATATCACTCCAGGCAACTCCATCAGAGTGTGACGTGCAGGCAGGTAGATTGCGTAAGGAGAGAGGCGAGAAAGGAGAAGGGAGGAGCAGACTATAAACGCTTCCCCATCTCCCCCACACACTCTCCCTCGCACACCCACCCATCCTCAGATCGCGGCACTCCAGGCCAGCTTATCTGAGTGTGAAGCGGAGGCGGGCAGATGGCAGGAGGCGGCCAAAGAGGTGGGAGGATCAGACCTCATGTTTCCCCGCATTGCCCCACTCGTACACCCCCACTCCCCGCACACCCACCCATCCTCAGATCGCGGCACTCCAGGCCAGATTATCTGAGTGTGAAGCGGAGGCGGGCAGATGGCAGGAGGCGGCCAAAGAGGTGGGAGGATCAGACCTCATGTTTCCCCGCATTGCCCCACTCGTACACCCCCACTCCCAGCACACCCACCCATCCTCAGATCGCGGCACTCCAGGCCAGTCTGGCTGAGTGTGAGGCAAAGGCGAGCAGATGGCGAGAGGCAGGCAAGGAGGAGGCAGCAGCAACCCAGAGCCTTAATTCCGCCCTCTCCCCCACCCCTCCCCTGCCCCACTTCCCCCACACCCGCTTTCAGATCGCGGCACTCCAGGCCAGTCTGGCTGAGTGTGAGGCGGAGGCGAGCAGATGGCGAGAGGCAGCCAAGGAGGAGGCCGCAGCGGGGAGTGCAGTGGCTGAAGAGATGGAGGAGATGCGTGGGCAGGTGAGGGGAGAGGGGTGGCATGATTGCGTTATAGGGCTGGGTGCACACATGGACACGCACACGCACGTTCGTGCGCGCGCGCACACACATACATGCCAGAGGGCAGCAGAGGAGGCATAAGCCATTCACGCTTAACCGCATTCAACTCCTCCCAAATCTCCTCCTACAGCTCCTTACATTGGAGGGTGAATCAGAGAAGTGGCAGCAGGCAGCAGAGGAGGCACAAGCCACTCACACTTAATCGCTTTCAACTCCTCTCAAATCTTCTTAAATCCCCTCCTCCAGCTCCTTACATTGGAGGGTGAATCAGAGAAGTGGCAGCGGGCAGCAGAGGAGGCACAAGCCACTCACACTTAACCGCATTCAACTCCTCCCAATTTCCCTTACATCCCCTCATCCACCTCCTTACATTGGAGGGTGAATCAGAGAAGTGGCAGCGGGCAGCAGAGGAGGCACAAGCTATGCTGACATCACACTCAACCCATCCAAATCCTCCCAAATTCCCTTATATCCCCTCCTCCAGCTCCTTACATTGGAGGGTGAAGCAGAGAAGTGGCAGCGGGCAGCAGAGGAGGCACAAGCCATTCACGCTCAACCGCTTTCAACTCCTCTCAAATCCCCTCAAAACCCCTCCTCCAGCTCCTTACATTGGAGGGCGAATCAGAGAAGTGGCAGCGGGCAGCAGAGGAGGCACAAGCCATGCTGACATCACGCGATGAGCTGGCAGCAGCAGCAGTTGCCGCCCGGGAAGCAGCGGAGCGGTCGCTCCGGGCGGCAGACAGGCGGGTGGCGGAACTGCGCGAACGAGTGGAGGAACTGCAGCAGCAGCTAGAAGACGAAAGTACCCACCGTAGTGGAGCGAGGGGGGCTGAGAACGCGGGTCGGGGATGGGGTTTGAGTGGAGTGTGGGGGCCAGGAGGGGAGAGGGGGGGAGGGAGTGTGATAAGGAGTGGGCAAGGAGGAGGGATGGCTAGCCGGATGTGCTGCTGCTGGCCGTGGTTGTCAGTGGGAATGGGAAGAGGAAGAGGAGGGAGTGGGGAGGCAGGAGGAAGAGATGTGGATGATGATGAAGGCAACGCTTTGGAACAGCTGATGGTGCCACTTGTTTGATTTCATATACGGTTGTTATGCAATTGCAAGGCGCGTGGAATGTACATTATGCTACCGGTATTATTTCAAGCATTATTGCAAATACACTGTAACCAGAGAGATCAAGGTGGAAGGTCAGGGAGCAGGTGTTCTGGTACACTTGTTGCAGAAAGGATCAAATTTAAACATAAAAAGAAGGAACAAATACTCGTATGTACAAATGTTACATCCAATTAGAAGCCCAGCCGTGCCCAGCTGAGCAGAGACCCAATGAACAGCCCCACCACCAGGAAAATCACCATCACCATAGCAGCCGATTCGGCTCGGTCCCGAGGCACCTGGTTCGGCGCAGCCATCATAAGCAGGCTCGTTAGCAGCCCATTAGAAAATCCAAACGCCCCCGTGATAGCAGCAATGATGACCTCATGCCGAGCCCACAAGGGGCCCCACCACACACAGAAGGGGTTAAGTACGTAAAACCCCCCTCTTGCCAGTACTAGAGCCACTAATACCTTCAGATCCGACACCAGGAACACTACCGGCGCCATTTTCCCGAAGAAATCGAACACATTGTAGATGCTTATAAGGAGGATGGGGTACCATGAGCCGAGCGCGGAAGACTGAAGCTCCGATATAAACCCTGGAAAGATGGAAATCGTAATTATGTACACTATCGCGAGCGAAACCGCGTACGGCCAAATCTGCTGCATGACCTCCCACTGCTGGCGGTATATCGAGGGAGCGGAGTCGACTATAGAGGGTACGTGGAGGGAAAAAGCCCTGCCTTCAGCCAGCATAGCCTCTTCAGACCGGAAAGTGTGCTCCCACCAGGAAACCACATGATCCCACACCCGCCTCCCTGCCTTGCCCGTTGCATGAGAATACCTGCCTCTGCGCCTCTCGTCCCCAACCTTATCGCCTTGATACAATCCGTTTCCTAACACGATTCCACCTTCACTTTCCCCGTCTGCCTCTGCAATCTCACTTCTGCTTGCTCCACACCCGTTCATCAGCACAGCACCATCACCCACTGGCTCTGCTTCGAAACAAACTTCCCCTTCTGTCTCTGCTTCGGCGCATGCCTCTCCTACTGTATCTGCTGCTCCTGCTGCTCCCTCTCCTACATCACTTGCTGCTTCCCCTTCTCCCACTTCTCCCGCTGCGCCTGCAACGTCCCGGGCGCGCTCCTGCTCCCACCACTCCGCCTCGTTTTCAATCAGAAGCAGCTGCCGGATCACCTGCTCTTCCTCTATTGTCGCCTCTCGCTTCACCAGCGGCTCTAGAGACTCGTCCTCACCCGCGCCCGCCAACCCCCCCTCCGCTTCTCCCTCCACTTCTCCTTCCCTTTCCTCCGCTTGTCTGTCCGCCCCCACACTCTCCCCGACGCGCCCTTCCCCAGCATGTGCTTTCCCCGCCTCTTTTCTCTCCCCCCGACCACTCCCACCATGGCAGATTGCCTTGGCTGCAACAGAGCCCGAGCCAGGCTCGACTCGCCGAGCCTCCTTCCGAGCCTTGTCCCGGGCCCGGCGCTCAGCCTCGGCGAGCGCGGCGACCTGGGATTGGAGGAAGGCGATGACGGGGAGCGAGTGGAGGCGGCGAAAGGCGAGGAGGCAGACGAGCAGGATGAGCGCGGCGAGCAGGAAGTAGAGGTGCGCGGAGAGGCGCAGGCCCGTGGGCGTGTTGGGGAGAACAGCTTTGGTTAAAATTCGCACTGCCGAGACCACGAGGCCTGCAGAACGGGGGGAAAGGGAAGAGGCAGACGAGGAGGATGAGCGCGGAGAGCAGGAAGTAGAGGTGTGCGGACAAGCGCAGGCCCGTGGGCGTGTTGGGGAGAACAGCTTTCGTCAAGATGCGCACTGCGGACACAACGAGACCTGCAGAACGGGGGGAGGCAGAGGAGGAGGAGGATGAGAGCGCATCGGAGGCACGGCAGGAGCAACGACAGAATTCACCAGGAAGTTATGGAAATGTATGAATTGTGAGTGGACAGGTCGGCAGGCAGGCACGGCAGGAGCAGGCGGCAGGTCAGCCGAAGCCAACCCGCCACCCGCAATCTGCGCCTGGCCGCACGAGCGACCTGCTCAATCGGTCCATGTGGCGCCAAAGTCAAACCCGCATGGCGAAGAGGCGTAACGCCGAGCCAAACGAGTAATCAGTATGATGGCGCAGCGGAGAACTTCGCATTCGCTTCATCGCATGCTGCGCTCGTATTATCCCCACATACATGAAACACTAGTAGGGTCACATCTGAATCGCTGGTCACAACAAGAGATACGTGAAACGCTAGTCCCAGCAGCGAGGGCTTGCGTGTATTGCTCGTGCAGCTCGCCCGCCATGCCGAACAGTCTCCCCTGCACCACGTTTGAGACGTCTCAAGAAGCATACCTGAAACACTAGTTCCAGCGGCTAGGGCTTGCGTGTATTGCTCGTGCAGCTCGCCCGCCATGCCGAACAGACTGCCCTGCACCACCGCGTCTATCGCCCCCGACGCCGCCACCGCCGCCACCGTCAGCGCCAGCGCCAGCGGCGGCGACGCGGCGGGTTTCACGGCGAGATCCGCGGCGGATTCACCGGCCTCGGCAGGGCTATCCGTGTTTTGGAAGGCATTGGGAGCGATGGCGCCGGGAGCGGAAAGAGCGTCGAGCGCGGGGACGAGGAGGACGAGGAGAGTGAAGGCGATGAAGCCGTGGACGATTCGCGTGCGAGAGGGAACGTGCTGGCCGTACCTACGAAAAAACGAGGAAAAAATATGGCAGTAAAAAAAAAGTGGGTTCCAAAAAAGACGACTTCGGTGAATTGTAAGCACGCGGAAAGCAGACTGACCAAGGAGATGGGATTGCTGTCGCTCACTCACAAGAGAACGAGAATCAGAGTGCCAAGGTTGGCGAACATGTAAGCGACGCAAAATAGCGTGGCGACGTGGGCCGTCGGATAGAGCAGGTAGAAGTAATCAACGGCCATGATGAAGGCATTCCACGGGAGGAGAAAGCCGACTCCAAGCAGCAGGAAGATGAAATAGGCGAGGTAAAATCGGTCAGGCGGAGCCACGTTAGAGACCGGAATATGGTCCGCCATGAGACGATCCGTCAGCATATTCAGGAGTATCTGATAAAAGAGGATCAATCGGCGCGTCCCGACAGCATGATAGCAGCCTGAGCCCCTCTAGACCTCGGCTGAATCAGCGCATCTGGCGGCGGTTCACAGGATACGAGGCGGAAAGGAGGTGGAGATAACCGACCGAAATGCATCACGGACGCAAGTGTGTTCACGGCAACCCTGCACAACGTGGTCATACATGTTGCTCCTCACATCAACCCATGCATATCAGGAGAACACAATCTAGGCACCAAACAACTGACGACACACGAAGTACGTGGAGCAATCACAAGGAGAAAGTCTATTTTATGGTTTTCCTCTTGGGAGGAGGAAATCTGCCTGGCATGGACCACAGAACCCCAACACCACCAGCTTTTGTTATTCAGAGATCATCGAACGGTTGAGCGGAGATGCATCGTCATTTGGTCGTTTGGACGGTCTAGATCATGAACTTAAGGCTAACACTTACGGCAATCGGGCGTTCTGTGTGTCACTGCCACTAAGCAGCCTGCCATTCATATCGATCGTCACCACTAACTCATTTCCAATCAACGGCATAGATGCTTGATGAAAGAGCTCGAGACATGCAAGAGCCTGCAGCCAATCACAATCAATATGCATACACATAACATCCACATCCAGTGATGACCTTCATGGTGAGGTGGCACGCACATGTGACACCGAGAAGCATAGAGAATGACGCGTGTTGTAATTTGTGAAGTCCCATTGACGTGTCAGATACTGATTTGTCGATTGAGTGATATGGCGAGCCAATGGTGATTTCGGGTGATGCAGCAGCTGGCGGAGCCGTGGGTGAGTATCGATTGGAGCTGTGGAGTGAGGTTTTGGTTATGTGACATGCTACATCTTTCACCTAAAAACTTCAATCCTACAATTCCGTTCATACCACCTTACAGTATGTGAGCAAAATATTATTGCTTGGAAAAACATGCTCAGGCTTAGCTTGAGGGAAGGATGGATCAACATCTTAGATGACCAGGCACATGGCTAGAGACTGGAAACCACACAACTTTTAAGCCAAAAAGATTACTTCACACAACAAGTAAAAACACTCGGCCTAGATCTCACACTCTAATTCTACTACAAGGTCCTCTTGGCAAACCTGCAGCCACGGCCATATTAAATTGAGAATCAATACTACGCTCCAAAGCTGCTGCACACTAAAACCTGCACACAAAACACACTATGGGGTGAATGGGCCCCGACAACCTATGTATACACACACTCGAGGCCCTCGCACACCGCACACCTAATCTAAGAGGGGTCCTCCTCGCAAACGATCCAATAAGCCTACTCTGTACGGGATTCAGCCGAACCCCGAGTCAGTAACGCAGCGCACGGCACTTCCTGTGATCGCGCCCAGTATTACGGCTCCAGTCGCCAGTCCGAGTGGTAACCACCATACTGCCTGATGAGACTGCGACAACAAGAATTGCAGCACAACCCGCGAAATTGCTGCGCGCCGTGCAGATGAGACACGTCATCAACGGTGATAAGAAATTGGCTCCCAACGGGGAGAAGAATCGCGGCCGCGAGGCCATATTTACATGTTTCGACACGTCGTGATTCTTGATTGGAGCAGAAGCTCCGATGGTACGAGCCCCGATACAGCCTACAAGCCGGCGACGCAATACAACGCGTCGGTTATAGGTTTCTGCTCCGAAGCGGGCCGCCGCCAGACGTCCATGCACTGGGAGACTCTTTCGGCACAGTCCTTAGCGTACTGCGCACGCAACCGTTGGCTCTCAGCCCGTCGCTGAATCCGCTGCTTAGAGTACTCGACGAAGTAGCTCTGGTTCTCCTTCTCCAAAGCTTTCCACACTGACAGTAGTTAAGAAGGATTGCGAAGATTACGGAGAAAAGAGTCAGTCGAGAACGTAGCGGGACGCCGATGGAGACAGGTGGGCTTGTAGAAACTTAAGGCAGCGAGAAGAGTCAGACGAAAAAGAAGCGGGAACTCATCAGACTGAAATAATATCAAACAGCAAAACTGAGAATCAAGGATGGGGTGTGAGTACAGCAGGAAGCACTAACGCGTACCAGTGACAGTGATAGCAGGCTTGACTCCCGCGTGCTTCGCTAGAGCAACGACGCACTCCTCACGGCTCAAATTGAGCAGCAGGCATCGCTCAATCAAGTGCTGCACCATCTGCACATAGCTCCTAGTCGACTCTCGGGAATCGGCCGAAGCCGGGGATCCTGCAGTGACTGAAGAACGAGCTGGAGGACCCATGGTGTGCTTGTACAAGCTACTGAGTACTAACGCGTCTGTACCGGCGAAAATGACGCTATCTCAGGAGCTATTGGAGTAGAAAGAGTAGCCTGCTAATACTGGCGACGAGACGAGAATACTAACGATCTGAAAGGTGAGACTCGCAACGCAGCTTGTATCTCCCCGTTCCAGTTGAGGCCGTGTGGGTTTCGTATGGCGGCGGCTCCTTCCCTACCCTTATCGGGGGTTGCGTGGCGTGTTGCGCCAAATCTGCCTGCCCAATCGCCTGATGCTGCTGTTGCTGCTGTGGCTGGGTGGATGGGGTGTGCGGGAGGGAGGGAGGGAAGCGAGGTGTGTGGGTGTACGGGACAGCTGGGAGCGGATTGGGTGTGTCTAGGTTTACCCCCTACACGTCAACCGCCTCAAGGCCCCGCCGTCGATTCCCCATCCGCTGCGCTGGCTGGGCCTGCTCTGTGGCGGTCTTGTAATCGCCCAGCGTGGCGGATTTCAAGGGGACTCGGAGAACGCGCTCTTAATCTGATTGGACAGCACTGACACGCAGGTCACTGGCCTGTGGCACTACCCCAACCACAAATCTCCCGCCAATATCTGCTGGCTCTTATTGGCTAATTAACGCTATGGCATCACTGGCTTGTGCGAAAGGAAGAAGACACCTGCTGCCACGGTGGCAACCAGCGTGGAAAAACGGCCAACTTCATTGATACTCAAATTATGCCTGACGCGGTTTGCAAGCGTACTCAACCGACAATTTCTCAGTATAGTAGCTACAAATACTTGTGAAGTTTGTTATAGTCACTTTTTTGAAACAAAGTCGCCACCAGCAGGTCCGCACATACCCAACAAAAAAAGGGAACATACTAACGCGTGGATAAGCAAGACATAATCTGCTAATTTAACCCTAAATACGGGATATCTTCTAGTTTAGGTTTATATGCTACAACAAACAACACCGCCCAGCGGAGCTTGCTACCCGCAGCCAATTAAAAAGAACCTTCCTACTGCAAGGCATTCATTCAGGATGGCATCAACCCTTAAACTTTGTCGCATAATGTTTAGGGTTGATGCCATCCAAAGGAGTTTTAATTTTCTTCCGTACAAGGTCAGAACGTCCACAAGAGGGTTGACGGTGCCGTCTATTCTGTGAAGTTATTCCTAGTCTGCATTTCATTTTCCAACGGGTTTTAATCTTTACTAAATTCGCGTTTTATACAATTTTCTTTGTAAATGGTTGAGTATTAATTGTTTTTTGTCTATTTTTAGGAAGAACCTGCACACAATATTATCTATTTATGGTCGGTCATTGCGTTCTGTTTCTGTCACATTCGGAGGTGTTTGTATCTTGAAAAGTGTGATTGAAAAGCGAGAACCAATCAGCGATGAGAAATTGAGGTTGAGTACGCTTGCAAACCGCGTCAGGCATAATTTGAGTATCAATGAAGTTGGCCGGTGGAAAAATGATCGAATTGCGTAATGCAGAGTCTGTTGAAGGGTGGCGGTTGTTCATGGACGAATTCAAGGCAGGACACGTCAGGATTCATTACCGACACACATGTGCCGTTGATTTCTAGGCGAGAGAAACCCGCTTGAGGAAATCGTTGGTGTAGGATATCCATGGTGTTGAAGCGGGAACGTCGAGGAGTCGAAGAGGCGGACGCGAGGCTAGCGATTTCGCGGAACGAAGGATTTCGAGCAGCCTCTCCAGTTCGAACACGTCGTCAAGCCACTTGACGCAAACCGCGTCAGGCATAATTTGAGGACACCAAAATCTTCTCATCCTCTCCCAGGCTGACCGCGTACCCAGATTTGAGGCAAGCGTACTCTCCCTAACCACAAGTGTATCTTGGGGACACCAAAATCTTCTCATCTGGTTTCCCAACCCAGCGCATCATCTTCTGTTCTGCCCCCACTGGTTCTGGATAAAGAGGCCAGAATTTCCCTGTGACGTGAAAGATAGTTGATTGCTTGCAGCCTGCCAATCATCTTCTACCCATCATTTTCTGTTCTGCCCCCATTGGGTTTTGTCGTGGTATTGAACTGTACACCTGAATTGTGAAGTTGTATGCGGAAGGGTTAGAGGAAATAGTTGTTGCTTTTGCGTCGGTTTCTAAAAGTGAAACTACGTACTGTACTGTATAGGTACCCGTGGTTTAAATTTTGCGCGAGAACGATTCCCCTCCAAATGAGAACGATTCCCCTCCAATCTGTACATTTGGAGGGGTATACACTGCATCTGTGTTCTTTCCGACAAGTGCCCCAAGATGTGAAAAGTACTGTATGCTGCCCCGACCCACCTCGATATGAATGAGACCAGTGTTGCATTCGGCAGCGGTGGATGCAGGTGGATCATATCACAGATTGTGTGGTGTGCACCCATGACGTACGGTTGACGTCATTGCTGATCGACACGTGTGAGAACATCGGTCTCGCACGAGCAACACGTAGAGACTGCTTCTAGTAACAAAGACAACAATAACCCCAGAACTGGAAATGCATAGCAACCTGTACTAAAACACCTAGTAAACCCATGATTTTAGCAAACAAACTGCCTTGCAGAACTGAACAGTTTACATATAATGTTGTACCTAAAGCTAAGCTACCCTCATCTTGTTCTGCATCCCATTAAAGAAGAACTCGGGAAACCATCACTGCATAGCTGCAATGCAGCCAGACATGCACTGAAAATGGCCAATGCAGAAACAAATTGGGGAACGAATTAGGGATTCACCTAAAGTATGTTAGTGCTAGTACATTACCCTGGAGCACCTAGCCCTGTGTTGAGCTCCCTTCATCAGCATACACTGCTCCAAGGGGCTATACCACTTGTTGAGAACCCTGTCAAATGTCACGGCACAGGGATAAACACCTCACCAGGATCACTGCACGGGGCTAGAAACCCCCAAAGGTGGTGTCACTGCATCGGTCGCAGGCCGTGGCTCATGGCAGCATCCCACGTGGGGTCGATCCGGCTCACATCGATGCGTCCCACCTCATCGTAGTCCTACCCCTCCCACGAAGCCTCCTATGACCCTAAAATCTCTAGCATAAGTGCCCCCCCATGCAGCTACAAGACGCTCACAAGTGTCACTGCATAGGTCGCAGGCCGTGGCGCATGGCAGCATCCCACGTGGGGTCGATTCGGCTCACATCAATGCGCCCCACCTCATGGTAGTCCCACCCCTCCAGCAGGTGCACCAGGCCCCCCGCATGGCACGCATAGATGTGCCCACGCGGCAACGCCAGCTGTAGAGGGAGGAAGAGAGGGAGTGGTGTGTGTGGGGGGGGGGAATGGGAGAAGAACAGGAAGCAAGGTCAGGTGTCATCACGTGAGAGCTGTTATGGTAGTCCCACCCCTCCAGCAGATGCACGAGCCACCCCGCATGGCATGCGTAGATGTGCCCTCGCGGCAAGGCCAGCTGAAGTGGAGGAAGGAGGAAGAGGGAGGCGGGGCGTTGGGACAAGAAGAGCGAGCAAGGTCAGGTAGGATATTCCATGCCTTCACCAGATGCATGAGCCACATGCCATGTGGTTTCGTGCATTGTGTGGGGGGGGTTGGGTGGGGTTTGCGTGGGCCCGCACTGCACCACCCAATGCACCTCACTGCCAGTTCAAATGGTGGCAACGCACACATCTGCCAGCTCACCTCACAGAACTTGAGGTTCTCCACGTCGTCTGGTAACCGCATGGCCGCCAGCTTGCCGTACGTGCAGTCCGGCCGGACTTCCGCAATGGGCGGCACGACAAACTGGTGGAAGTGCGTGCCAGGCGGCGCGTGCCGTTGCTCCCACCACATCATGCCCTTGCCTATGATCCACACCTGGATCCATGCCGTGTGAAACATCACGCCGTGTGAAACATCATGCCGTGTGAAACATCATGCCACATGAAACATCATGCCGTGTGAAACATCATGCCGTGTGAAACATCATGCCGTGTGAAACATCATGCCACGTGAAACATCATGCCGTGTGAAACATCATGCCGTGTGAAACATCATGCCGTGTGAAACATCATGCCGTGTGAAACATCATGCCATGTGAAACATCATGCCATGTGAAACATCATGCCATGTGAAGCATCATGCCGTGTGAAACATCATGCCATGTGAAACATCATGCCGTGTGAAACATCATGCCATGTGAAACATCATGCCATGTGAAACATCATGACACGCCAGAACAGGTGGAAAACGCATAGACAGCTCAGTAAGAATGGGAACAGGGGAACCAAGCAAGAGCAGCCATGCCCTTGCCCATGACCCACACTGCGTGCGTGCCATGCCATATGGACAGCAATGGGCAAAACAAGCAGAGCTAAGAATTTCATCAAGTTCAACCGTCCGGTTGAGATTCAATCGAGCAGAGGCAGGAATCTCATCAGCAGCTCAATCGATTTCCGGCCTGCGGCTGATGGAATCAAGTTCAACCGTCCGGAAAAAGATTCCAACGCGGTTAGAGTCGTCTAGAATCCTCACTTCTCACTTCCTTGACTCGTGCGCAAGTCAAGGCTGGAGCACGTTTTTGAGAATTCTCAACAACCAGCTCCTCACCTCTCACTGCCTTGACTCGTGCGCAAGTCAAGGCTGCAGCACGGCTTCAGGGGTAAGATGCCATGATGGCCGAATGGGCATACCGGGCATTGGCTGGCTTGCGAGTATTGTCTGACTTGCACCAGCAGATGCTGCTTCTCCTCTGGTAGCTCTGATCGAATGGCTTCAAACCGCTCTCTTGAGGGGGTCAGCATCTGGCCGGATTTAACGGGGGAGAGAGAGCAGGAGACAGAGAGGAAGTGGAAAGGGGAGGTGGAGAGGCGATTTTGGGTCGACTTGAAGACCAGCAGGTGCTGCTTCTCCTCTGGTAGCTCTGATCTGATGGGGTCAGCATCTGGCAGCGTTGAGAGAGACAGAGAGGAAAGAGTGAGGCGAGTGAGGGAAACTCCCTCACACAGTAGGCTTCACAGCACAGCACAGCACCGCACAGCACCGCACAGCACAGCACAGCACA